TACCATTCTTCAAAGTGGCCGTCAGCACCTTGCCATTGAGTTGATCAGGCATCTGAGGTGCCGGTGCGGCTTCGGCCTCTTGTCGGGCTTGCTGTGCCGCTTCAACGAACTGCTGTGACAACTTGAGCCTCTTCTTCACGTCCTGAAAGCTGTGTGCAGAGGCCCAAATAGGTTGGCGGTCTTGACGCAGCAACCTGTCGGCTTCAGTCAGGCCATGAGCTCGGGCTGCATCTAGCTCTGCCTGCGGGATCGCCTCCCACAGCAGGTTGCTAGCGAGCTTGGCTGTAGCGCCCCAGATCAGGGATTTCACCTTGACCGACGCGGCGTATTTTGCCGAAGAATAGTGAAATGCCATCGCCCCCACCTCTGGTTGCTCACTCTTGTTTTGCCAGTCACCCAGGGCTGCCATTTCTTCAGGCCTGCATCCTAACAACTGGGCCACCGTGGGTGCAAGCCTCCTCCAGCTGTAGGTGGTCAGGTCTTCTGGATTGTCGAGGAACACGGACATTTCCTGTTGCATCGTCTCTTGCACTTCTAGGATCGTCCATGGGCGCCCTTCGTCCGAAAAACAGAGGCCTGCAAGTCTCTGCCTTGCTGGTGCCAGCGTCCTGTATGCCTCCAGCACTTCCTTGGCCCAAAAGAAGCCGTTGGCAAATGTGGCCGGCACCGCAAAGTCGAAACCTTCGCGGGCATGCTTTTGTTTTCCCTTAGGGCACCTGCAATGGAGGAATGCAGCGGTGAGGCGCCGAGGTTCTGACCGCGCGATGTGCGCATACCTCAAACAGCCAAACGACATGATCCAAGGAGCCAGAAGAACTGACCACCTCTCATCGCCGACCGCGTGCAACTCCATGATGCGGTCCTCCAAGGCCTGCACTAATGGCGGCTCCACCACTGGTGCTTGCCCACGCTGCCCAGTCGCCCTGGGTGTTGTAGGCACTTGCAAGTTTCCCAGCTCCATGTCTTGGTCGGCATTCTTGTTCATCCACTTCAAGGCTTGGAGTGCTCGTGCTGGCGCCTGGGTATGGTTGAGGAACTGATCCAAGTCGACCATTCCAGGAGGAGCGGGTCGCCCCCGACTCTCCAAGAAGGCCCTCAGCTCCAACCAGGTGTTGACCACTCGGTCAATGGTCGCCTTCTCCGCGTCCTTCACCTTCTTCTCGGCGATCCTCTTGCACGTTTGTTTCCATTCGGCCTTGAGGGTGTCTGTCAAGATGCCAGCTGGTTTGTATGCGCCCATTCCGACAAACATCGACCCCAAGCCGTTCACCCGCTTTTGGACGGCCTCATCCAGGTTCTTGGTGACGTTGACGGCCTTGGGCTTTTTCTTGTAGATTGTCTTGCGCACAGGGCGCAGAGTGACGGAACCCTTGGGGTTGTCCTCCACGACTTTGGCCCCAGCAGCAAGGAGGTGCTCTTCCACCCTTGCTCTTGTCTGCAGCCAGTCATCCGCTACGTGATGGCCAGCTAGTCCAACGACTTGATCGTAGTCGGTGTAGGCATAGGCGAAGTCGTTGTCGTCCAGGAGACCTTCGTTCTCCCTCCATTGACGCGCACGCTGTGCAGCTATCATCATCAAGGAGTCGGCTGCTCTCCATCCCGGTTCAGGGTCACCCCCTGACGAGGACGAGGCTGCCGCTTGCGCTGCATAGTAGCCTTTGCCGCCTGATGCCATGGCGCTGCACCCTAACAAGATTGCTAAGGTGCGGAGAGCAAAAAGATGCTGCGGTGACTTCAGAGGTGCCTCCTCTGTCATAAAATCAACCTGCAGCAAACATCTTCTTACGTCCTCCACAAGTGCTGCATGGCTCACGCCAGGTGAAGCAGTCGCTACACATCCCGACGCAGCATGCCCAGCACACGCGCCTGGTGGGGTCTCTGCACTCCTGGCATTCCAGCCATCCACATAGCGCTCGATGTGCCCTGGCGCCTTCTCTCCCCCAGGCCCCCCAGGGTCGCCCCCTAGGTGCTCTGGGGAAATGCCGCGGCTCGAGGAAGACCGGCAGGAGCTCGTGAGGGCCTGTGCATCTGAGCCAGCTCCTCCATTGATCGAACAGCTCCCCCAAGCCCAGCTGCCCAGCGTCGCCCGCTGAGCACCTGAGCTGCAACCCGTAGAGATCCTGGGGCACGATGTCAGCGGCCACTTTGAGATTCGTGTAGGCGGCGACCAGCAGCAGGTCCATTGGGTCCTGGTGCTGGTAGTAGTACGCCCAAGCATCCGCAGGCGCCACATCGTCGGGCAACACAACGCCACGGCTGTTCCACAAGCCGAGCCACGGGAACTTGAACCCCCCCACATGAGCTGCGCAACGCTGGCAGTCATCAAGGCAACAGGGTAGCTTCGGCAGAGGGGGGAAAAGTTCTGAATCTGTCCCAGTCGTGATGACGTAGGAGGAATGCAACACTTCAATACCATGCATCCAGCATGTGTATGCTGCAGCATCAGAGCCCTCCCGCGCCAGCCTTTCCACGTGGCTCTTAAACTCCAGGAAAGCAGCAGCATGAAGGATCTTCGCCTCAGTGGCTGCCGGGATATCGATTCCTGGGAGTTTGCGCTGCATACAAGGTCACCCCTTGTAGATAGTTTGAACCACCCAATCAAGGTCTGGAAAGGTCACCCCTTACCAAGACCAAGAAAGAAAACAGCAATGAATGCTATTTTGGTTCAAGTTTACTTGAGCCAAAATGATAGCATTCATTGAAACACTTAAAGATGATACATGCACACACAAGCCTGCCAAACTCAATGCATGGGTATATATATTGTGTGTGTATGTGTGTGTGCGTGTTGGGCCGCTTCTGTTGGGGCAGCAGGTGTGAAAATGGCTCTACTATACGAAACGGGGAAGATGTCACAACCCAGATACAGGATGATGTCCGCGGGACAACTTATGGGATCAACTGGCATGGAATGTGGGTCTCAGCATGCTTCGAAGCACCCACTATCCATCCTATCGATCCTACATATGCCATCCATATTTCCAGAGCTTGCTGGGACCCCCGGCCATGAAGAAAACACGATCATACTCTCGATGAACTCCACTCATATCCTCCAAACCGGTGGCTGTGCAGATTCTGGAGTTCCCGTGTAGTGTCGCGTCTTTGAATTGGGGGATAGCATGGGATACCAGTGGATACCATGTTGCCATTTTATGAGGTTCCGGCCATGGCGAAAAGGCAGTGCCAATTCGTTTGCAGCTGACACGGATGATCAAGAAGAATGTTGTGCCACAAAGGAAATGATCTTCAAATATCTTCAAAAGCGGCTAGTTCTCAGGAGTCGCAAAACACATATGCGACTCCTAAGCCCACCGCATTCTAACCTGACACGCGCACACACACACACACCCTTTTCGATCTTTACTAAAGCTAGATTTCGGAAAAACAATCCTACATAATTACATAATCCTATGTTCCTTCATGAAAGATATGAAAGTGGGTACCCTCCGGTAAACTAACATAACTATGGGAAATCACAATTTTTACTCGGTAAATCAACCATAAATGGCAATTTTCCATAGTTTTTTGTAGGTTTACCAGAGGGTAATCACGGCCCCATGAACCAACCATGCCAATCGCGTCCTTTCGTTTCCGTATCGGAGACGTCTCTAAAATCCGGTGCATCGACTGCGTTCGCTCCTGGGGCAGAGCCTCCGCATGCCTCCCATAGGAAGTTACATAATTTGTGTATTTAGATGTATTTACAAATACATCATTTTTGTTTATATATATATATATTATATTATTATATAGTGCGTACATATATATTATATTATATTACAATATATTAGTAACTTTATGTACAGTATATAACCTTAATTTGGTCTAGTATCTCAATAGGCTGACTTCTACCAAAATACAGTAAATGACCTCAACAATCACAACTACACTAGACCCCACAGCAAAATGTCGCTCGCACCTGCACCAAAACCTACCGATACCCTCAGAATCTGCACAAACATTGCGGTGTCTTTTCGGTCACTTTTGGTGACACTTTCTGGACAAATGACTATACTGACTATACTTCACAACTCAGAAATAATCAATGTTTGGGACCCTCTGGTAATTTAAGATAGCTATATTGGAATATATAGCGATGGTTGGCAAATCCTGTCTCACTTTTGGGCCCATGGCTTCCAGTTCGCACAATGCGAGTCATTGGAGGCTAATCCCTCCCAGTAACCATGATTTCTGATGACTTCTGGTGACCTTCGCCAGTAAGGTCGCTAGCCAGTCAATGACTTGGCATAAGGATCCCGCTTGGCCCACTTGTGGCGCAGGCGCCTGCATCTTGTCCGCATGTGCAGCTAGATGGCAGTTCATAAACAGCAACTTGGTATTGCCCAATCTGAAGGCCACCTGGCAAGACGTGTGCAAGCTGGACATTGTTTTTTCACCATGTAAGATCGAAAGATGGCAGAAACCCAAATTAAAAATGTGGGACTTTGAATCATAGGCTAAAGGTTACTGTCCCTCCTGTAGATTAACAGTTTGCTATGGAACATGGCAAATTTAGTTTGATTATATATATAATATATAATATATATCTCTATTTAACACATATGTAAACATGTTTTTTCATAGCTAGTTTAACCAGAGACTATGGAAGAGTGTTCCTGCTGGTTACTTTTCATCCAGTTCCAGGTGGCCCTGGTCCAACATATCTCATACGCTCCGTGTGAACCATTTTTGGGGGGTAAATCTTGGTACATACTCCATGGATATGGCTACCATTGATATCATGGAGAAAGATTGGTATCCTCTTGTAATCAAACATGGCAGTGCAACAATCCCTCAATGGCTATCAGTATCTGTGTAGAACTTTCTATCCACAAATTTGAACAGATCGGATAGCAGGGGGTCCAAAAATATCAATTTCTGCAGTTTCTCGGGAAGGTCACATCATTTAGAAAGCATCTGAGTACAAAAACATGGGGAATGTTGGGGATGATGATCCTAAAAATGACTCTCCAACTCACAGTCAGCATTCCGCCAGCGATTTTTCCACATCACGCTCTTTTGGGCGGATCATGGCTGCTGGCTGCAGTCGATGGGTTCCTTGGTGCGGTTCGGTGTTCAATGGATTGACTAACTGATGCCATCAGCTTTCGCCCAAAAAAATGGAGGTTTCTTGTGAACATGGTCCATTCATCCAAGTCTGGAAACTGTAGAAGTTCATGAGCTTGAAGTTAGGGCGTGGAAGAAGCCATGGGATTCGACAAGTGTGGAAATGGGTTGAACAAATGCAGGATTGAGATATATATACTTGACGATCATATATTCCCGTTAACAAACGAGCAAAGAAAAATGTCGATGCAAACATCCCGTTGAAGACAGTTAATTTTTGTGCATTTTTCAATTCAATTTCCATGAAAGTGTTTCTTATTTGACCAGTCTTGGTATGGCATTGATCAAACCCAAAGTTGCCCAACTGAAATAGCCGCAAAACTGAGATACAGTGCATCTTAAACCTAACGTAGGAAGGGAAATCATGGAAAATTTCCATTTACCCTTTGGTAATTTGTTGTTACATAGTTATTGAAAATACCCCATTTATAGCTGATTGACCTATTAAAAATGGTGATTTTCCATAGTTTTTTATATGTTTACCAGAGGGTACTCTTCAAACATGTTGTTTTTTTTTCCAAGCGTCAGCTCTCTGGAATCCCCATGAATCACGATTTTTTTGTCCCCATGTTGAGTTCAAACGGCCACTTGAAACAAACGCCAATTAAGTGAAATGTTCAGCATGTTTTTGAATTTGACACCAACCATGAATGAATCCGCCCCAACTGTGCAGAGTCATCCAAAAATATTAGTTATTTTATATGGTAACATCAATAACATCAATAACATCAAACAAACAAACAAACAAACAAACAAACCAACCAACCAACAAACAAACAAACAAACAACAACAACAACAAAAGCAAACAACAACAACAACAACCACAACAACCACAACCACAACCAATAACCAATAACCAACAACCAACAACCAACAACCAACAACCAACAACCAACAACCACCAACCACAACAACCACAACCACAACCACAACAACAACAACCAACAACCAACAACCAACAACCAACAACCACAACAACCACAACAACCAACAACCAACAACCAACAACCAACAACCAACAACCACCAACCAACAACCAACAACCAACAACCAACAACCACCAACCACCAACCAACAACCAACAACCAACAACCAGCAACCAACAACCAACAACCAACACCAACCAGCAACCAACAACCAACAACCAACAACCAACAACCACCAACCACCAACCAACAACCAACAACCAACAACCAGCAACCAACAACCAACAACCAACAACAACCAGCAACCAACAACCAACAACCAACAACAACCAACAACAACAACAACACCACCAACCAACCAACCAACCAACCAACCAACCAACCAACCAACCAACCAACCAACCAACCAACCAACCAACCAACCAACCAACCAACCAACCAACCAACAACAACAGTGAAATCACCATAGACCACGATAAGATACAGCATATAATCATTTTAAAAACACCATCCACCTATTGCTGCTGCCAGGCTACTGGGGCCTAGCAGAAGCCTCGGCCCCCTGTCCCAAGCTACCCAGATCCGAAGAGAGGGTGATGTTTCACACTAAGAAAAAATATGTGTGTGTGGGGAATATGTGAATCCTGAAAGCATTGTGTCCCATTTGTGATGGATGGAAAATGAAACATATTAAATGGTGTATATATATATATATATGAAACCACCCATCAATATATGTGTATATACAATACGTAGAGGGAGACACAGAGAGAGAGAGAGGCTGTTGATGATTTTGAGGGATCTCACAGTTGTCAAGTGCTTTGCAAGAACATAAGCCCGGACTGGCAGACTCACTTCACCCTGAAAGTCAAATGCCCCATACTCAGCATAGTAGTGAGAATGCACAATAAACCCAGGGGTTATCATCAGTCATTGGAATTTTCTGGGTCAATGTCCTTACTCTGCACTATAGCCATCTCCCTAGATATAATCGAAAGAAGTTTAGAAGTCAAACTTCCGACAATATGGACAAATGAAAAAGCAGAGGTGGGAAGAGTCAGAGAAGAGAAGAGAAAAGAAGAAGAAAGAATATCAGAGAAGAGAAAGAATCAGAAGACAGAAGGTAGTTCCGGAGGGTCGAAAAGTAGGCTCGCTAAAGCGGCGGGTGCGGAGCCGTCTGGGGAGATGAGAGATGAAAAATTGCACGCCGTTGTGGCGCGAAGCACATTTTGAAGTCAAAATGTGCAAAGCATACCAGGTTCGAAGCACTTTTTGAAGTTGAGAATGTTGAGAATGTGCACGCCGTTGTGGTGCGAAGCACATTTCGAGGTCTCGGATCACTTTTGGAAGTTGAGATGTCGAAAGTGGACGCCGCCGTGGCGCGAAGCAGATTTCGAAGTCAAAATGTACAAAGCACACCATGCCCGGAGCCCTTTTGGAAGTTGAGATGTCGAAAAAGTGCACGCCGTTGTGGCGCGAAGCACATTTGGAAGTGAAAAACGTGAAAAACTGACGGTCTCGGACCACTTTTGGAAGTTAGGATATGGTTTTGCGTGGCATGGGCAAGGGATTCTGCACCTTGAAAGTGAGCAAAACGTGAGGGTTTTGTAGCAGTTCCAAAAACATTGGCAGGTGTAGGACATTTGAAGAGGATCTGCAAAGATGCAAGTCCCGTGGCGGGCGCATTACAAGAGACGTGTTCACCAGAGATGTTAAAGGTCAGGGCGAGATTCCCTGAAAAGGGTTGCATTTTGGAGCGTCAGATCTTCAGGTTTGCTAAGATGATTTTGCGTGACAGATGCAGCACTTTGTATGACCTGGCCTCACTTTTTCGTGGCAGGCGCAGTACTTTAAACAGATGGAATGCAAAGAGAGTACGTTTTCACCACGACTAAAACTAGGTTTCCAAACCACGACAAAACCCGGCTGCGAACCACGACAAGGACCAAAGATTTTAAGCACGATTGGCAAACACATCATCGACTGTCTGCGTAGCCAGCAATCACACTCTTAATGAACTGGTTTCATTGTGTTTTAATCAATGAAATGCTTCATTACCAAAAAACAAACAACACAAACTACTATGAGAATATATAATTACAAATATATATATATATAAACCATACTATATATATATTTACCAATTTATAAAAAAAATACTAAAACCACATCACGTGAAAACACTGCTGACTACCGCAGACGAGTCTGAAGTTGCGCATTGTTTTCCATTGCCAGTTGTGATGGATCTGTTTGGCATCAGTGATTGAATCCTGCTTGATGGTTACGTTTCACCTCTCAATTAGCCAGCTGACCATTTTGGTCAAGTAGAAATCAACCCTAGAGGTTGAGAAAAGCGGAACAGACTGGTCACAAAATCGAAATATACAAACAGAAGCAGAAGCAATGTATGGATATAAATGTTGAATGCGAAAAGAAAAGGTTCATTGTCATTCTCAGGACATCAGCATGGAGTGAAATCAGCAAATCTTCTTCCGGTGGATGATTTTCTTCACCTGCGCCGACCAAAACTCTTTTCAACCCCAGGAGTCCGTAAGCTTACAGTGAAGCCTCGCAAAACTAGCCACCAGTCAGATCAGACATACACTTGGGATCTTGGGATGCACCATTGAATCATCAATCTACTACCAGCGAAGCCAGTCCGGGCCTCCATCAAGCACGCATCGCTGCTGGCCTTGTCCAAAATGATTATAAAAGAAATAGTCATGGAAGGGTACAATACAAGCTCAAAGTGGTGGATTCCACTGGAAAAGTTTGGAGGTTGGATCGATTTAGCAACGTTTGGCAACTTATGATTCAAGCAGCTTGACGCTTTTGACCAGCTTGTCGTTGCGATGCACGTATCCACAATGCTAGAACAGAGCTTAGGGTCGCCAATTTCAGGCTTGGTGGGCTGTGCTTGTGAGGGACTAAGAACTAGCTGCTAAGCGCACCTTCTGTATTTGTGACAGATGCGATCGCCTGTTGGCCGAGAAGTTTAGGGTCTAGCCTTCATTCCTTTGGCTGTGAAAACAGGAATCACATCCAATGCCTAGATCCCGAATACACATTCTGTCTCAGCTAGAAAATTCATTGACCAAAGATAATTTCTGAATTCACCATCAATTGGTCAATGAGTGACCAACGAGTTGGTGCTGGAGCACCTGCGATTCACCATCTAGCCTTGCCTTCCACAATGCGTTCATCTAAAATCTAACTCTTTATTTAAACTTCCTCCCCTTGCCTTCATTACACAATCCGGTAAAAATCCGTAAACAATCCGTAAGCATCCTCCTATTATCAAAGGAAGTTTAGGGGGAGAAACTTCCGTGTTACGGACTTTTAGAATGTCAGGGAAAGAGTTAGTCAAAGAAAGAGTTAGTCAAAGAAACAGTTAGTCAGGGAAAGAGTTAGTCAAAGAAAGAGTTAGTCAAAGAAAGAGTTAGTCAGGGAAAGAGTTAGTCAAAGAGTTAGTCAAAGAAAGAGTTAGTCAAAGAAAGAGTTAGTCAAAGAAACAGTTAGTCAGGGAAAGTTAGTCAAAGAAAGAGTTAGTCAAAGAAAGAGTTAGTCAAAGAAACAGTTAGTCAGGGAAAGAGTTAGTCAAAGAAAGAGTTAGTCAAAGAAAGAGTTAGTCAAAGAAAGAGTTAGTCAAAGAAAGAGTTAGTCAAAAGAGTTAGTCAAAGAAACAGTTAGTCAGGGAAAAAGTTAGTCAAAGAAAGAGTTAGTCAAAGAAAGAGTTAGTCAAAGAAACAGTTAGTCAGGGAAAGAGTTAGTCAAAGAAAGAGTTAGTCAAAGAAACAGTTAGTCAGGGAAAGAGTCAGTCAAAGAAAGAGTTAGTCAAAGAAAGAGTTAGTCAAAGAAACAGTTAGTCAGGGAAAGAGTTAGTCAAAGAAAGAGTTAGTCAAAGAAAGAGTTAGTCAAAGAAACAGTTAGTCAGGGAAAAAGTTAGTCAAAGAAAGAGTTAGTCAAAGAAACAGTTAGTCAAAGAAAGAGTTAGTCAAAGAAAGAGTTAGTGAGGGAAAGAGTTTGTCAAAGACAGAGTTAGTCAGGATATATGAGGTAGTCAAAGAAAGAGTTAGCAAAGAAAGAGTTCGTCAGGGAAAGGGTTAATCAAAGAAAGAGTTAGTTAGGGCATTGATTGTTCCCGCAATGCAAATGGGATTGCAAGTGGTGCTGCCGGATGAGTTGCCGATGGAGTTTTGAAGGAAGTCTCGCACGAAATGCGTTTTTGAGAGATAGCAGATGCACGAAAGCCTATGTTTTTCCATACAAAGTGCGTCCCCGAACGTCGATGATCTACCTCTGCGGTGCGACGGGTGCGAGACGGTCTCGTGTGTGGTCGGATCATGCTCGGATCGGTCTCGGACCATGGTCGGATCGGTTCCGCATTGTAAATGGGGTGTCACCTGTGTTTCGTGCATGTGCGGTCGACAGAATTCCATTGTGATTTGCAACTGTAGGATCGTTCCCGCATTGTAAATGGGGTTGCAAGTGGTGCTGGTGGATGAGTTGCTGATGGAAGTCCATTGTGATTTGCAACTCTAAGGATCGTTCCCTCACTGTAAATGGCATTGCAAGTGGTGCTGGTGGAGGAGTTGCCGATGGAGTTTTGGAGGAAGTCTCGCACGAAATGCGTTTTTGAGAGATAGCAGATGCACGAAACCCTATGTTTTTCCATACAAAGTGTGTCCCCGAACCTCGATGATCTACCTCTGCGGTGCGACGGGTGCGAGACGGTCTCGTGTGTGGTCGGATCATGCTCGGATCGGTCTCGGATCGGTCTCGGATCATTCTCGGATCGGTTCCGCATTGTAAATGGGGTGTCAACTGTTTTTCGTGCATGTGTGGTCGACAGAATTCCATTGTGATTTGCAACTGTAGGATCGTTCCCGCATTGTAAATGGGATTGCAAGTGGTGCTGGTGGATGAGTTGCCAATGGAATTCCATTGTGATTTGCAACTGTAGTATCCTTCCCGCAATGTAAATGGGATTGCAAGGTTGCTTCCTGCTTTGGCTGCATGCGTAATACTATTGTCTTTTGCAGCTGGACTTCGTAAATCGTATTGGAGTGGCTGCATGAAGGCTGCGACAGTGATTTGTCAGCAGATTTTCTTCATTTTGGCGCTAGTGATTTTCCTTCTAAAAATAATTTTAAAAAGTGCTTCAAAATCGTCTTTTTTTCGCTCTGGCGTCGAGATCCGGTTTTGGAGCTATACAATTTCCGACGCCGTTGCCCGTAGTTCTATTGTGTTTTGCAACTCAGTCTCTGCAGATCGCATTGTAATGGCTGCGTCAAGGTTGCTTCGTGCTGTGGTTGCATTCGTAATACTATTGTCTTTTGCAGCTGGATCTCGTAAATCGTATTGGAGTGGCTGCATGAAGGCTGCGACAGTGATTTGTCAGGAGATTTTCTCCATTTTGGCGCTAATGATTTTCCTTCTAAAAATCCTTTTAAAAAGTGCTTCAAAATCGTCTTTTTTTCGCTCTGGCGTCGAGATCCGGTTTTGGAGCTACAATTTCCGACGCCGTTGCGCGTATTTCTATTGTGTTTTGGAACTCAATCTCTGCAGATCGCATTGTAATGGCTGCGTCAAGGTTGCTGCGTGCTGTGGCTGCATTCGTAATACTATTGTCTTTTGCAGCTGGATCTCGTAAATCGTATTGGAGTGGCTGCATGAAGGCTGCGACAGTGATTTGTCAGCAGATTTTCTACATTTGGCGCTAGTGATTTTCCTTCTAAAAATCTTTTTAAAAAGTGCTTCAAAATCGTCTTTTTTTCGCTCTGGCGTCGAGATCCGGTTTTGGAGCTACAATTTCCGACGCCGTTGCGCGTAGTTCTATTGTGTTTTGGAACTCAATCTCTGCAGATCGCAATGTAATGGCTGCGTCAAGGTTGCTTCGTGCTGTGGCTGCATTCGTAATACTATTGTCTTTTGCAGCTGGATCTCGGAAATCGTCTTGGAGTGGCTGCATGAAAGCTGCGACCTGGATTTGTTAGCAGATTTTCTCCATTTTGGCACTAATGTTTTTTTGCTGCACGTAGATTTAGAGCAGTGCGAAGTGTGGGGCGTGAAGAGTGCAGTGTGAAGCGTGAAGTGTGAAGGAAGCAGTGTGAAGTGTGGAGTGTGAAGTGTGGAATGTGAAGTGTGAAGTTTAAGTTTGGAGTGCGAAGAGCGCAGTGTGAAGTGTGAAGTGTGAAGTGTGAGGTTTGGAATGTGAAGGAAGCAGTGAGAAGTGTGAAGTGTGGAGTGTGAAGTCTAAGTTTGGAGTGCGAAGAGCGCAGTGTGAAGTGTGAAGTGTGAGGTTTGGAGTGTGAAGTGTGCAGTGTGAAGTGTGAAGTGTGGAGTGTGGAGTGTGAAGTTTAAGTTTGGAGTGCGAAGAGCGCAGTGTGAAGTGTGGAGTGTGAAGTGCGAAGTGAGAAGTGTGAAGTTTGGAGTGTGAAGTTTGGAGTGGGAAGGAAGCAGTGAGAAGTGAGAAGTGTGAAGTGTGGACTGTGAAGTGTGGAGTGTGAAGGAAGCAGTGAGAAGTGAGAAGTGTGAAGTGTGAAGTGTGAGTGAAGTGTGGAGTGTGAAGTGCGAAGTGAGAAGTGTGAAGTTTGGAGTGTGAAGTTTGGAGTGGGAAGGAAGCAGTGAGAAGTGAGAAGTGTGAAGTGTGGACTGTGAAGTGTGGAGTGTGAAGTGCGAAGTGAGAAGTGTGAAGGAAGCAGTGAGAAGTGAGAAGTGTGAAGTGAGAAGTGTGAAGTGTGGACTGTGAAGTGTGGAGTGTGAAGTGCGAAGTGGGAAGTGTGAAGTGTGAAGTTTTGAGTGTGAAGGAAGCAGTGAGAAGTGAGAAGTGTGAAATGTGGAGTGTGAAGTGTGAAGTGTGAAGTGCGAAGTGAGAAGTGTGGACTGTGAAGTGTGAAGTGTGGACTGTGAAGTGTGAAGTGTGGACTGTGAAGTGTGAAGTGTGCAGTGTGAAGTGTGAGGTTTGGAGTGTGAAGGAAGCAGTGAGAAGTGAGAAGTGTGGAGTGTGAAGTGTGGAGTGTGAAGTTTGAAGTTTGGAGTGCGAAGAGGGCAGTGTGCAGTGTGAGGTGTGGAGTGTCGAGGGAAGGACACGGTCGGGACAGGTTGTCTTTGAACTATAGGTCATTTATGTTTGGGAAACTTCCGCCGCCGGCTTGCCCGGGTCTATGTTAGAAATTAGGCAAAGATCCGTAAACAATCCGTAAGCCTCCTTCTCAAAATCCGGTTAAACTCCGTAAACAATCCGGAAGTCTCCCCCCCAAAATCCGGTCAAATTCCGTCACCGATCCGGAAGCCCTCCTCCCCAAAATCCGGTAAAAATCCGTAACTCTACCGGAAGCCCTCTCCCCAAAATCCGGTAAAAATCCGTAAACAATCCGGAAGCCCCACAATCCGGTAAAAATGCGTAAACAATCCGGAAGCCTCCTCCCCAAAATCCGGTAAAAATCCGTAAACAATCCGGAAGCCTCCTCCCCACAATCCGGAAAAAATCCGTAAAAAATCCGGAAGCCTTCTCCCCACAATCCGGTAAAAATCCGTAAGCTATCCGGAAGCCTCCTCCCGACAATCCGGTAAAAATCCGTAAGCTATCCGGAAGCCTCCTCCCGACAATCCGGATTTTTTACGGATTTTTTGCGGACTGTGGGGAGGAGGCTTCCGGATTTTTTACGGATTTTTTCCGGATTGTGGGGAGGAGGCTTCCGGATTGTTTACGGATTTTTTCCGGCTTTTTGGGGAGGAGGCTTCCGGAATGCTTACGGATTTTGACCGGATTGTGGGGAGGAAGCTTCCGGATTTTTTACGGATTTTTTCCGGATTGTGGGGAGGAGGCTTCCGGATTGTTTACGGATTTTTTCCGGCTTTTTGGGGAGGAGGCTTCCGGATTGCTTACGGATTTTGACCGGATTGTGGGGAGGAAGCTTCCGGATTTTTTACGGATTTTTTCCGGATTGTGGGGAGGAGGCTTCCGGATTTTTTACGGATTTTTTCCGGATTGTGGGGAGGAGGCTTCCGGATTGTTTACGGATTTTTTTTTACCGGATTGTGGGGAGGAGGCTTCCGGATTGCTTACGGATTTTGACCGGATTGTGGGGAGGAAGCTTCCGGATTTTTTACGGATTTTTTCCGGATTGTGGGGAGGAGGCTTCCGGATTGTTTACGGATTTTGACCGGATTTTGGGGAGGAGGCTTCCGGATTGCTTACGGATTTTTACCGGAATTTGGGGAGGAGGCTTCCGGATTGCTTACGGATTTTTACCGGATTGTGGGGAGGAGGCTTCCGGATTGCTTACGGATTTTGACCGGATTGTGGGGAGGACGCTTCCGGATTGTTTGCGGATTTTTACCGGATTGTGGGGAGGAGGCTTCCGGATTGTTTCCGCTATTTTACCGAATTTGGTGGAGGAGGCTTACGGATTCGGGACTGGGGAAGTCTGGGTGCTGGAACCTTGAAGCAACAGCCTTGCTAATTGTTTATGAATTGGAACTAAGTAAGAAGCTGACATGGGCTACACTGGGCTGACTTGGGCTACACTGGGCTGAGATAGCTTGGGCTACACTGGGCTGAGATAGCTTGGGCTACACTGGGCTGAGATAGCTTGGGCTACGGTGGTTTGATTAGTGGCGATTAGTGGCAAATTTGGTTTGATTAGTGGCAAATTTGGTTTGATTAGTGGCAAATTTGGTTTGATTAGTGGCAAAGGTATGAACAAATCATCAATTGAACAAGGTATGAACATGGTATGCGCTACTCGTGCTACCCTCTTGTCGTGGTTTTTTATATCTTGTCGTGGTATAGATTCCACTGTCGTGGTATGACCCAACACCTGAATGCAAAAATCGCAAAACGCAATGGTACCAGGCCGTCAGCTCTGCACTCAATTTCCATTTTTGAAGGAAGTCTCGCACAATTGCTTCGTTTTGATGTCGTCAACTTGGAAACTTGAGGAAGTCTCGCAGAATAGCTTCGTCTTTGACGTTGTCAAGTTCAAGAAATGAGGAAGTCTCGCAGGATAGCTTTGTTTTCAAACTTGCAGAAAGACAGACAGATAGACAGATAGACAGACAGACAGACAGATAGACAGATAGGTAGATAGATAGATAGATAGATAGATACACAACTACAACTGCAACTACAGCTACAACCACACGACACTACCACTACAACTACAAATGCAAAAACAAATATATTACGCTACAGTACACAAATTACACTGCACTACACTACACTACACTACGCTAGTTGCACTACACTACACTGATTACACTACATTACATTAATTACACTGCAGTATACTATCACTACACTACAGCTACGACTACCACTACCACTCCACTACACCACACTACACTAATTACACCACACTACAACTACGACTGCACTACTTTACACTACGCGACACTACATTACATTACACTACAGCTACGACTACCACTACACTATACCTACAACTCCACTACACTACAACTACAACTGCACTACACTACACTACATCCAGCAGTTGTGGGTGAGGTGACCACTGCAACCATTGCAACCACTCCAAAAAACACAACTCCAACCAGCTTTCGGTCCATCAGTGGATTCGCTCTGCCATCCATGCATCACAGCAACCAAGCTCTCCTATAGGTTTCCTATCTTTGAAACTGTCGCCACCGCCGCACGTGCGGTACTGGTATTTGTCACACCCCCAGTCTGTGGTCATCCCCTACGAAAAACCATGGATTCTAGGAGGTGTCTAATGTTAGGTGGAAGGAAAAACATCGGGAATACCCCTACTGGTTGGTGGTTGAGCCACCCCTCTGAAAAATTTGAGCTTGTCAGTTGGGATGATTATTCCCAATATATATATATATATATATGGAAAGTCATAAAAGTCATGTTCCAAACCACAACCCAGCCTAGTAATGGGAAGATGTTGAATTACCACCTGGTTGATGGGATGGTTTACAGGGGATGGTCCTAAGGTGTCCTTTCACATCAACGTCCTTCTCCTCCTAATGCTAAATGGGGGTACCCCTATATATGGATGGTTTATTTCATGGAAAATCCCATGAAATATGGATGATTTAGGGGAACCCCCATTTTATAATATGGGTTTGTCAGTCTGAAAATAGGGTAACTCTAAATCCATTGGTTAATTTAATCAAGTTCCATCAGTTTTCAATATTTGCCCTATTAACCATTGGGAGGTTATACATCATTTACCCTCTGGTAATGACTAATATAGCTATCAGAGGGTAGGGAAAGCTCCAAATTGGCCCAGCTGCTGAGATCGCCCTCACGGCCTTGGATGCGACCGGCAGAGGCCCCACTGCCTCGGCTGCCGCTGGAAGTGCCGGTGGAAGTGCCGCGAATGCGTCGTGGGTCCCTGCCAGAAACCTACCAGAACTGGGGATGGTTTATGAAATTGGCTTTACCAACACGAACATCTTATTTCATAAAAGTGGCATACATTGGCATACTATTTACCAAAGTGATATGTTTATCTTATTTCAATTGTTTTATGAAATGTGATTCAAGGTGTGACGTGGCATATTATTCATATTCTATTCATCTGAGACTTTCGAAGGCACTGGTGATCCAGGCATCATGGTGACACTGTTGATGGGCCATTTGGGATCTGCATTTGCTGAGCGCTCTATTGGGAAAAGACCTATTCATCCTTGGCACAAACTTGTATTGTATGTTCAAATTTCAAATTGAGGTGTTCCCTTTAGTCTGATATACACGGACTTTCCATTGATGCAGAAAATATGCTGGAAGTCGATCGGGAGAATCATCCAAAAGCCAACTTAAAATTGGGTCCATTTTAGTAGGAAAATATAGGACAACCATCCATTTTGGGGGGCACAATATACCGTATAGTATGAATGAGCAATCAGCAACCCAACCAAAAAACCAAGTCAAAGTTCGGGGCAAAATTGTCCCCCCACACCCAAAAACATTAAAAAAAAAAACAAGGATGAAACTGAAACATTGAACAACGTAACATAAAAACCATAAGAAGCAACAATGAACGCTGGGATGTCCCAGCATCCCTCTACCATCCTCTACCATTTTTTCACCTGTTTTCCTACATTCCCACTGATACCCCATGACCAGCCCATCCGTAGCCGGTCTAGGGCACCCGCCCTACCCGCTTGGCTGCCAACTGGATCCAAATCTGCAGACATGTTCAACAGTTTCAACGCATCCCAAGAAGAATCTCTGTGGACATGGGTGTATGAAATAAGATTGGAAATAGATAATTATGCCATCATATGCACAGTATAAACATACAATAATCATACATAAATAGCAGTTAAATCGGGCTTATTATCTTTATTATCTTTCCAAGTATGAATGGCCCAATGAAATAATTAGGCAAAAGTCAGCCAAAATCAGGCAAAAATCTGGCAACACTAGGATAAACTACCAAATAAATCTGGATGCCAAGTATGATACTTGGAGGATCCTTCCACAAATCCTGAGTGGTTAACAACCATGGTTATAAGTTAATCTAGATGTTATAAGCCATTCATAGATGGGTTAACCATGGTTAACCCATGAAACGGGAAGTTACCAACCAGGAAATCTTAACAGGTTGTAATTCTGCCGATTCTCCAATAATGAGTCAGGCCTGAATCGCTGCTGGTGGTCATATCCGCCCAACGCTTGCGAGGTTTGTTGGCTTGCGCCTGGAGGATCCATGGCTTGGGTTTTCAGATGGGGGAACCATGGGATTTACCGCCATGTTTGATGTCTCTGGGGGTTACTCTGGGGGAACCATGGATTGGACCTGGAGCGTTCCTGCGTTGTTTCTGAATTTTTCCGGAACGGAGGGCACCAATGGATCATCCACTCGAGCCACAGCAAGATGTCGGGAATCGGGAAACGGCTGTGGGTGGTGATGGACACTTCCCCGTTGTCCACACCCAAACTTGAACGTGGAGCCTGATCTGAATATATGGCCCTTGGGTTGCATACCAACTCTTGGGGGAGATAGATGACACTCTCCAAGAAAAATCGATTTGTCCAGTATCCAGAAATGGATTGAAATGTGGTTTACCCTAAAACTTGCATTTCAAGGGGGAACTGATGACAAACCATTTACAGTAGATGTTGGATGAGTTAACCCTTGTTTCAGACAAACCCAAGTGGATTTTTCAATGGCCCTGTCACCCTGTCCTGCCAGCGACTGACAGCAGCCGCTCCGTCCAGCTGTTTGGTGTCCGCATCACTGCCCTGCGTTGGCTATGGTTTAGCAGCATGAAAGAGGCTTCAATTGGCCATCAACTCTATACAACCAATCACTTGTTGTCTAGTGTCCGCAAACTAGTTGTCTGTCTCCATTTAGTGTTGATGAAATCCCAACATGTAATCTCCTATCCACACATTCTGTTGCCAATGACCTAAAGTGATATCTACATAAATGGTGGAATCACCTTTATCGTTATATAGTCAAGTTTGCTCTATTCTATCCCATCTTCTGTTTGTCGAATGTTCATGTTTTTTCCATAAGTTGTCATGTCTGTGTTTCCTAGGTCAACTTCCAGTTCTTGGTGATAACTGTATCTTCCCTTGGCCCTGTTTAGCTAAATATCACACCATGTTGCCCTCGCATTTGTGGATGTGCTGGACGGATACACATTTCGATCATTTTGGCAGTCAGTCCCCTTATTATTGTTTGCCTATTATTGGTGATATCCCCCGAAATCTTAGATATCCCCCGACATCTTATGATTCAACCATATCATGACATGGTGACATGTCCAATCACGGGGTACGGATTCCCGTCAGTATGGCCACCCATTTCCGTCCATTGGTTTGATCCCAATGATGGTGATGCTGAAATCCAACCAATGTTTTTAAAAAAAAATCCCTGATGAGATCAAATGCCATCTATTTTATAGTCATATAAAACCGACCCATATTTTTATGTCTTATAAATAGTTTCAACTTAAATCACGATCTTAAAATATCTTAAACCCTTTTAAATTACTGGCACAGACCCTCACTGTCCTCCCGAATTCCCAACCTCGTTACTAGAAAGGTCGTCGTCGCGGCGGCGAACGTTTTCTGGCTCCGAGTCGCTACCTGCCGAGTTTCAGTCATCGTTCACTTGGATCACCTGAATTTGTACCAGGGATTTGCCTAAAGTTATAGGATGTTATAGGTAGATTTGATTGTAGTAGTGAGGATTTTGTTATACTTTGGGGGGTCTAACTCTATATATTACAACGATCTATAACGATACTATTAGGAGTTGACTTGATTTTATGATTGTAAATTGTATAATTATACTGTACCACATCCATTAAATTTGAGTTTGTTGCTCGCATGGGTCATCCAGGAACGCCATCAAAAGCCAGATCAATGTGTCTTTCATGTCCAATGTTAGTAACTCAAACACTCAACAAGAAACAAACCACACTCAAGAATCAAAAACAAATTCCAACAAGTAAATCAATGTCCAATGATCATATCCTGATAGTCATCATTCTGATGTGTTAACTATATACTGTGCATATTGATACAATAAAGTATCAGCGACTATCTCCCTCGCCCCAATTTTTCGAACTCACTCCCAGAAATCTACTGATGATTTTCCCAAATTTTGATACTTGGAATCTGTCCATAAAGATAGTTTTTTTAGATATATAGTTCCCATCGCACCCAAGTGGCCCCAGGCCATCCCAATAGGGCACCACACTGATGGTCTCCTGCCAGCGCTTGGCCCGTTGTTTGCTGGGCATCGATGGCACTTCATCGGCTAACTCGTCCAACTCCTGGCCGTAAAGGGTGGGGTTCCCAAGGTCTTATGGCCAAATGGTTGGTTTAATGGTAGTTTTTATGGTTGTTTTAATGGTTGTTTTGATGGTTGTTTTAGTATGTTGTTTTTGTATGTTCTAGTGGTTTTTTAGTTCCAAGAACCATGGTTCAAAATGGTAAGATTGAAAGGTTTGATGGTAGGTTTAAAGGGCACCAATTTTTTTTGGCCAACTCATTTCATTGTGATGTTTTTTAAATGTTTTTGTAGATGGACCACATTGGACCACATTAACCACATTGACCACATTGACCACATGTTCACCAACTGATGTTCCAATAGGTATGATATGAAAATTGATAATATGTATATATTTACATGTGTAACCATGATATTCAATAATGATTTTCCATTAGATAGTCATGATTGATACTTGATGATGTATGTACCAGTAGTACCGCACAAGGCGGTGGCGGGAGTTTCAAGGCTCCACGGATAGGACACCATAGGAGACCTGAGTTGTTGTGATGCATGGATGGCAGAGCGAATCCACTGATGGACCGAAAGCTGGTTGGAGTTGTGTTTTTTTGAGTGGCTGGAATGGTTGCAGTGGTTACCTCACCCACAACTGCTGGATGTAGTGTGGCGTAGTGCAGTTGTAGTCGTAGTTGAAATGTAGTGTAGTGGAGTTGTATTTGTAATGTAGTGTACATAGTGCAGTGTAGTTGTAGTTGCAGTTGTTGCTGTGTTGTGGTGTAATTAGTGCAGTGTAGCGTAGTGTAATGTAGTGTAGTGTACTGTGGTGTGGTGTAGTGTAGCGTAGTGTAGCGTAATGTAAGTAATGTAGCGTAGTTGTAGTGTAGTTGTAGTTGTAGTTGTTGTAGTTGTAGCTGTCGTGTAGTTTAATGTAGTGTAGTTCTAGTTGTACTTGCGGCCGTAGTTGTAGTAGTAGTTGTAGTGGCAGTTGCAGTTGTAATTATAGTTTTAGTGTAGTGCAATGTAGTGCAGTTGCAGTTGTAGCTGTAATTGTAGTAGTAGATACAGTTGTAGTGTATTTACTGTAATTAGTGTAGTGTACTGTAATTACTGCAATGCAATTGGTGTAATGCAGTCCAATTAGTGTAATGTAATGTAGCGTAGTGGTTTGTATTTGTAGTTGTAGTGTAGTGGGCAGTTGTAGTTACAGTTGTAGTTGTCTATCTATCTACCTGTCTACCTGCAAGCTTGAAAAAGAAGCCATCCTCAGTTTTTGAACTTGACAACATCAAAAACGCAGCAATTGTGCGACACCTCCTCAACTTTTGACCTTGATAACGTCAAGAACGAAGCAATACTGCGAGACGTCCTCAAGTTTTGAAATTGGCAAGATCAAAAACGAAGCAATTCTGCGAGACTTTTCCTTCAAACATGGAAAGTTGAGTGCAGAGCTGACGGCCTCGTACCATTGCGTTTTGCGATGTTTGCATTCCATCTGTTTAAAGTACTGCGCCTGCCACGAAAAAGTGAGGCCAGGTCATACAAAGTGCTGCATCTGTCACGCAAAATCATCTCAGCAAACCTGAAGATCTGACGCTCCAAAATGCAACCCTTTTCAGGGAATCTCCGCCCTGACCTTTAACATCTCTGGTGAACATGTCTCTTGTAATGCGCCCGCCACGGGACTTGCATCTTTGCAGATCCTCTTCAAATGTCCTACACCTGCCAATGTTTTTGGAACTGCTACAAAACCCTCACGTTTTGCTCACTTTTGGCAAGGTGCACAATCCCTTGCACCTACCACGCGACACGACATCTGAACCTCCAAAAGTGGTCCGAACCCCTGCTGTTTTTAGCATTTTGACTTCGAAATGTGCTTCGCGCCACAACGGCGTGCACATTTTCGACATCGCAATTTCCAAAAGTGCTCCGAACCTGGTGCGCTTTGCGCATTTTGACTTCGAAATGTGCTTCGCGCCACAACGGCGTGCAGTGTTTCATCTCTCATCTCCCCAGACGGCTCCGCACCCGCCGCTTTAGCGAGCCTACTTTTCGACCCTCGGGAGCCACAAATCACTGTAAAAAACACAGTGAATCGCGACTTTGCTACCTTTTCGCGCACCTGGATCTTCTTTCCTCTGACTCTTTCTCTTCTCTGATCTTCTTTCTTCTTCTCTTCTCTTCTCTGACTCTTCCCACCTCCGCTTTTTCATCTCTCCATATTGTCGGAAGTTCGGAAGTTTGACTTCTAAACTTCTTTCGACTACTGTGTGTGTGTGCGTGTGTGCGTGCGGGGGGTGTTCCTGAAATGGGGGTACCCCCAAATCATCCATTTTAAGGATATTTTCCATTATAAACCATCCATTTGGGGATAACCCCCATTTATAGAAACCCCCATACCCTCCGGTAATTTAACATAGCTATTGAAAATTGCCATTTATAGTGGATTTGCCCATTAAAAATGGTGATTTTCCATCGTTATGTTAGTTTACCAGATGGTATATAGCCAGACTGGAAGCCTCCCAAAAAATCCATGGGCTCCGCCGGCTCCTGCCGCAGATCCTGTAGCTCGCCCCGCCGGTGTGCACGCAGCAAACCTGGACTTTCACCAAGCGTTTCAGGAGACGTGGGAAAAACAAGCTGCTTTTAGTAAGTCCCTTAACTGCATACAGATATGTATAAGTAATATATAATATATATATATAATAATAATATGTATATAATAATAATATGTATATAGTAATATATATAATACATATATACGTACGCGTTATATGATTCACATGATGTTAGTATAAATCCAGAAGATTGAGTAAGCAATGGAATTAATTATAATCAATGAATATCACTTATAATTAACTGGGCTCATCATACATATCGAGAGCTTTCCCAAACATTGCTTGGGTCTTGGAAATCTGCAAACCACAACAGAAGAGCCGCCTTTGCGAACGCGAGATCGAATGCTCTCTGCCTGTGTTTCCGCGAACTTGAGAATAGGTTAAAACTTGACCTAGCTTGACCACTTCACATGTGAGCAGGGTCATTTTCGGGCACACATCCAATTCTGAGGTCATGGGCCAAGGGATCGCAATAAGATGTTTCAGGCAACAAATGCCCTTTATCCTCTCAACCTGCCAGTCAAAAACTGTTGGTTTGTACCTGAACCAGAGCTTGGTTGGGAACATTCCCCTCGATTGAATCGTACCAGTCACCATGTCAAGACGCTGGACAACAGAGTTGGTGGAAATCTCAACATTCAAACATTTCATCTGCCTCTTTGTAAGATCGGATGGTTCAAAATCTGGCCCAACATTCCCCGGAATTGACCTTTGAAATCAACCCACTCCTGCCCATCCATCTTTCCATGATCCATCACCCCACCTATCCATTCCCATCCATACCCTAACCCAACTAATTATTCAAAATTTACCCATTCCCAGCCCAACCATTGGTTCCTGTTATCCCATTCACCAACCACTCGGTGTCATTTTACATCATCCCAAATAGAGGTATAGCCAATAATAAATGCCTGGTTGGGGATTGTTTATGGCATTGGCTTCACCACATGCATCCATTTGTTTGGTCAGTTATATCCAATAAATTTATCCCCGTGGTATACCATTAGTTTTTTGGAGTCTATATGGGTCTATAAACCAACATCACTTCATTTCTCCATCAAAGACACACAATCATGATCATCAACCATTTCCTAATCATCCCAGAAGGTCAGTTAGATGGATCATTATATCCCCAAGCGATTAATATAGGCTTCACCATGGGTCAATAGTGGTTAATCGATGTTAATGGATATATGGCTAATGGGATGATTGGGTCCTTGGGGATGTTGACCATGAATAATATCAATAGAACTATCTCGGGGATGGTCATTGGCTAATGGATAATCATCCATATGGCTCCCTCTGGTAAACTAACATAGCTTTTGAACATTGCCATTTATAGTTGATTTACCCATTACATCCCATTACTTATTAAACATGGTGGATTTTCCATGGTTTCTTGTATGTCTACCAGCGGGTAATGGCTCATCCCCAACCCCAATAGTTAGATCATGGATAATCATTGGTTAACCACTATGGATTATGGCTTATAACCACCATATTAACCATAATTACGATAACTATAATTATATATGATAATGGCTAACTATAGATATCTATTCTAGATAATTATGGTTATTATGGCTTATAATTATTATTATATGATTCTCCATACGGATTATCCATAATTATAGATAATTATAATGGAACCATATGGCTTGGCTCCTGCCTGGCTCTCCAATTCCTCCGTCATCTGATCCACCAGGCGCTCCAACTCGCCGTTGCCCAAGGAGGCCGCGCCGCGCAGCCCGCGCAGCTGCGCGGCCTTGGCCTCCAAGGCCTTCTGGGCCGAGTCCATCTCCTGGAAAAATGGGGAAAAATGGGGAATTTTACCCTGAGAAACCATCGATTTTCCCATTGCAGCCATGGGGTTTTCCTATAAATTGTCCCTTTTCCTATGAGAAATGGCAAAGAAAGATCGTTTCGTAAGTGGATGATTCATGGATCATCAATAGATCACTGGTTTCCATAGCCATGGTGGTACCCCATTTTTTGGGATGATTTAAGATGGAAAGTCCCATGAAAATGGATGATTTGGGGTTACCCCCATGATTTAGGAAACCTCCAAATGGGAATTGAATCATCAACACAAGGAATCTCATTACTACTAGGTACATTTTTGTCTAACCGTCTAACCCAAAAAGGGGACGTTTTAGCGTGAAAAATCGAATTTTGCCACGGAAAAATGGTGGATTGAAACTTGTTTACTGAGTATACTCCAGCGATTTTTTTTGAATATTATCGTACCATGGGAAAACTTAGCAATACTGCGCAATACTGTAATTGGCGACAAGCTGGGCTCAAAGCGCGGTCTGAATGGACCGTTGTTTTGAGCATCCAATTTGAAAGCAATATTTCCGAGCCACGGAATGAACACAACACAAGGCTGATTGTCATTCACATGTTCACATAAAAAAAAAAAATCTCAAGTGACACCATCTAATATTCAAAACCAATATCACCATCACCATCATCATCATCATAATAAAAATAGTAATAATCATCATCAACATCATCATCATCATCACATCATCATCATCACCATCATCATCATCATCATCATCATCAAAATCATCATCATCATGATCGTCATTGTCATCGTCATCGTCATCGTCATCGTCATCATCATCATCATCATCACCATCATCATCATCATCACATCATCATCATCATCATCATCAAAATCATCATCATCATGATCGTCATTGTCATCGTCATCGTCATCGTCATCATCATCACCATCATCATCATCATCACCATCATCATCATCATCGTCATCATGATCATAAAAATAAACTCATCATCATCATCATCATCATCATCAAAATCATCATCATCATGATCGTCATTGTCATCGTCATCGTCATCATCATCATCATCACCATCATCATCATCATCACCATCATCATCATCATCGTCATCATGATCATAAAAATAAACTCATCATCATGACAAACAATTGACAACGCCATCATGAACAATCTTCCCAAATGGGGTTTCCCAAAATGGGGGTCAAATCATCCAAATCATAAACCACCGACCATTTTACTTAGTCTTGAAACAACCTGCATGTGACGACTGGGACTTTAAAGAAACGCCCAGATCTTCCCACGGCCATGTTATGGGTCATTAAATGTCCCCATTGAACATCACCCAACCATTAGGTATATGGTCTATAATGGCTACTATAAGGTGATGTTCAAAATTCCCAAAATGGGACAGTTACCAACCCCTGGCCATGTGGTCCCCTGCCTCTGCCAGCAGTTGCAGTTCTCCCGACCTCTTCATCTCCAAAAGGCTCTGCAGCGCCCGTTGCTTGGCAGACAAGGCCGGCCGGGCATCCTCACCGTGGGAGTCATGGGTCGTTTGCAGGGGATCAACATGGGAAAAAAACCATGTCATATGTGGATTTATGGGAGATTTCACCATGAAAAATGGCAAACATGTGGGGACATGATGGAACATGTGGATTTCATGGGGGGCCATAGACCTCCATTTTCCTCATCATTTCTAGCAACAATGCCATCCCTCAAAAGTGACCAAAAGATGCTTCAGATTCGCTCTATCATGGTTGATGGGGCTTACCGTTCCTGTGATTCTCAAGCGGAGAAAACGATTCAGAGTTCTCATGCATCAGGCTTTCCAGCACTTGACGTGGAAAGGAGCGGGAAGCTGCAGATGATCTGCCACTCGAATAGAAACTCCATATGTAATGCCATCACGCATCAAAAACGGTAAAAGTGGATTTACCACAAAAAAATGACGCAATTTTCATCCGCAAATGAGTTTTGTTTCATGAAACCATTGGAAAAACGTGATTTTGCAGTTTTCATAAGCCTTATATTTCCATATATGTTCATAATTTTCCATATATTTTCCATATATGTCCGTCATTCATTGGTTGGATAAAGCCGTTTTGCCTCAGTTTTCCTGGTCCATCCCCTTGGGATCCCTGGGATCCATGTGGGCCTCGACAGCTTGTGCCTCGCTGGCTGTCCTCATTTCCTGGGAAACGTGGGACCCCCCGTTGGGACTGGGATTTCACCAGCAAGGGTAAAATAGAATAATGTATATACATATAATCTATATAATATAATATAATATTATTGTTGTTGTTGTTGTTTTTATTATTGTTGTTGTTGTTGTTACTATTATATATATAGATATATTGTTAGATATGTATATTATTCTATATTATATATTATATTATATACACGTATATATATATATATATTATATATACATACATAACGTGAACGACCCATTTGTTTTTGTGGTTTCATCATGTTCCGAAACAATGGCGGATAGAACGGGAATAGAAAGCAGCTAACTGAGAATACTAAGCAACGATGATTGGGCAAACGTCCAGTGGCTGACAATTGATGACAATTGCCTCACCAGGTTGTTCCATCCTTTTCTCAAGCGAACGAATTGATCACATTTATCATTTATTTATGTAATGCCAGCAAGTAAACACCCCCAAATTAGATGGATTGATTCAAGGGAAAATCTACAGGAAACCATTGGTTTTCCAATTGTATATGGGGTTTCTTGTAAAATTTCCATTAAACCAATCCATTGACAAATATCTAGTATAGATTTGGCCCAACTATGACGCGGCTGGGAAACTCAATCCGTAGCTCCTTGGCTCACCATTTTAATATCAGCTTGAGGAAAAAGCATCATTTAATAGGACATACCCTTTGGTAAACTAACATAACTATGGAAAATCACCATTTTTCATGGGAAAATCCACTATAAATGGGCTATTTTCTATAGCTATGTTAAATGACCATAGGGTATTTAAACCATTGTAAACCCATAGATACCCAGAGCTCCTTCCACCACCCCAAGCTGCACCTGGGCCATTCGATCCAGTTCTCCGGCCCGTTTCATCCGCAGCAGACTTTCCAAGGCGCGCTCCTTCAAACGTTGGAAGTCGTCCGCGCGACGCTCCACCTGGAAGGGCGTTGTTCGGCCTATGGTTGATGAATGTTGATGATACCCTCTGGTAATGACTAACATAGCTATTGAAAATGGTGATTTATAGTGGATTTTCCCATTGAAAATGGTGATTTTCCATAGCTATGTTAGTTTACCAGAGGGTATTCTTTGATATGGTCAGTTGAGTGGTGTTCAAAACTTTAATTAACTTTAATTATCCATCCTTCTCAAATGACGATGATGAAGAATGGGATTTCCATGATGACTTGAGCAAACTTTGCACATTGCTGACATTGTTGGCATCCAATGACTTGACCATTGACGGCGGGTCCATGGATGGTGAATTCCCAGTTGATCTTGCTTGGTGAGTTGATGTACTTGTTGGCATCCGATTAGTTGATGATACACAGTGGATGAACTGTATATATGTATATAACTATATTAAATGATAACTATATATATATAACTATATGTATATATATACATAACTAAATAACTGGATTAACTGTATATTTATCTGTATATGTGAAAACTGTTAAATTGTAATATATAAATATATAGATGTGAACACTATGAAATTACATCGCGCTACATAGATCTACATAGTATCCCATAAAAATGGTTGCTTTTACATCCACGTGTTTGTTGCTGAAATCTCCCAATACAGTTCATCATGCCGTGAAAATCCCCATCAACTACCACAAACTCCCACTAATCACCATAAGATTCCAATACATTCGCATAAAATCACCATAAAATAACCTAGAAATTCCACCAAAACCATCACTGGTTGGTAGTTGACCTACCCCTCTGAAAAATATGAAAGTCAAATGGGATGATGACATTCCCATATATGGAAAATAAAAACCCTGTTCCAAACCACCAACCAGATCAAAACCCATGGAAAATCTCAAATAAAATCCGGTATTCTCCGTTGCACCTCTGTTGCCAACTTTTCGGCGACCTTTTGCAGCTCACCAGTACGATGGGCGCTTAGCATGGCCACCTTGAAGCGCTCCTGGAAGGGAAGTGTTTTAACCGGATTTTCCCATGATTTATCTGGTTGGTGGTTTTTTAACCATCTTGAAAAATATGACTTTGTCAATGGGAAGGATTATCCGATCCCATATATTATGGAAAATAAAATTCATGTTTGAAACCACCAACCAGTTTATGGATTTAGTATAAATATTTGGAGTTATCCATAGTATGTCCTGGGATATCCATGATTTTTCTAAGTATTTCAATATGGATAAAAAAATCATTTTGGATGTGTTTTTTTCAGAAAGGGACTAGGGATGATAAACAAAAATCATGGGGATCTGACTTTTTACATAATCATATATATATATATAATTATATATAATTATATACATATATACATTTATGGATTAGGATACATCTGGAATAAGTTAGATCCCCATGAATTGTCTGGGGGGTTGACTAGATATCGGATGAAAAAATCTAATGTGATTGATCTCTAAGCACACTATTGGGTCTTGAGCAAGTTGCAGTTTGGATCTGTTTTGCGCTGTCAACTTTAACGGTCTTGCAGCAACTAACCAAAAACTGGGGTTAAATCAATAATAATAGATGTTCATCAAATATGTCACCAGCAAAGATTGGAATATTGCAAGTATTCATCTTCATGTACATCATGTACATCCCCTTCTCCATTCTCTGATGTATTGCTTCATGTTTCAATTTCATCCGTATCTTCATCTTCATCTTCATATTCTTCCTTGTTTATTATTCTTCTTCGGCTCCTTCTTCTTATATATTATTATTTTCATTGTTCTTCTTTGTTTTTTGTTTATTCCCTCTACTATTCGTCCTCGTCATTTAATTCACCATCATCACCATCATTACCATCATGACCACCATCATCATCGTCATCGTCATCGTCATCCTAATCCTAATCCTAGTCCTCATCATCATCATCATCATCATCATCATCATCATGCTCGTCATTGTCGTCGTCGTCGTCCTCCTTCTCCTCATCCTCCTCATCATCATCATCATCATCATCCTCACCGTCATCGCCATCGTCATCGCCATCGTCATCGTCATCACTTTCACCGTCATCGTCATCACTATCATCGTCACCATCATCATCGTCATCATCATCATCGTCGTCGTCATCATCAACTATACATCATGCATCATCATGCATAATTCATTTATGTTATATATAGTTCACATGTCTATCAAATTTTCAATTGTTACATCCAAGACATATATATATATAGTATGGATACTCAAAAATACATTATATGAATTCTAACATATATATATATATCACATGTATATATATATATATTATACTGGTTTACCTCATTCTGGTGCGATTCGACCAGCCAACTTGCCAACATGCCAACCGTTCTCATCCTGTCCTTCAAGTCTTGCAGGTCCACCGCGGAGCGAACCATGTCTTGCTGTTCACGCCGTAGGTTCTCCAGTAACCGTTGCAGCTTCCCCGTCCTGGAGACCATGTTGGTGCTGTTGATCCTTTATTGCTGGCATTTATTGGGATAACATCTATAGATAATTGAGATAATTGGGATCATAATTGGCATTTATATACATTTTTATACTTTTTGTGGTGATTTAATGGGATTTAATGGGATATAGGCATTTCTTAGGCTTTAGCGGTGCAACCCTCCGCCCACTGGGCTCCTGTTGGCTTGCAGCAAACTGGACAAAGTGTTGTGCCTCTGTCTGCGACCTGGAACGACGAGTCGGGGTTCCTGTCCTATCGAGTCATTGGAAACAACATTTTTTGGTGGACATGCCAGTCCCAAAAACTGTTGTAATATGCTTACCCTCTGGTAAATTAACATAGCTATGGAAAATCACAATTTTTAATTGGTAAATCCACTATAAATGGCAATTTTCAATAGCTATGTTAAATTATCAGAGGGTACAACCTTCATGATACAGTAGTCTATGGTTTTTACTCAAGATCTGAGGCATGGTTTTACGCAAAAGTATCTGTGGATCATCATCCCATAGCTATGGCAAAACACCAGTTGAATAGGTCAATCATCGAACTAAAAGGGCCATGGTTTCCATAGCTACCCTCTGGTTATTTAACATAGCCATGGAAGCCATGGCCCATAGAAATGGATGGTTTTTTCCATATAAAAAATGGTGGATCTTTCCATGGCAAACTGTTCGTCATAACCAGAGGGTATGTTGGTTATATGTGAAACATCCCCAGTCATCAAGTCATGACTGAAACCCCCCAGAAGCCCACCAGTTTCTTCCAGTTTCGAGTCGTCGCCGGTCTCGTCTTTGACCTATGGAAGGATCGTTTGGAGAGATGATGAGAAGTGTGGTGTAACTTATGGCTAGTATAAAAAAATAACTAGCATATCACTAGATGTTTAGTATGTCAGTGGATAGTAACTAAAACTGTTCGATAGGTACGTGGCTAATAATGTTTACTAGTATAACCTTGGTACTTTAGTAAAATGGTAGAAATATAAAGTAGATTTTTCAAATTCAATAAATGTGGTATAATCTAGTTGAAAACTGAAACAACCAAGCAGAAATTCTAGACCTTTCTGTGAGCTACTCATATCCAACCAACACTGCCGATGCAAAGTTTGCAAACTGTTTGGTGCCTGCGCATGAAAACATATGGGTATGGATCAATACCTATTAATACCATTTTTAGGGGGTGAACATCCATTTACCAGCTATTTTGATGTTCACCAGGGGTACAAGGTTTTGACACACTGCCATATGTTGAGAACCACTATCGAATGTACGGATTGGCTGTGGAAAAAACGCCGCCAATCTGGTGGGATCTAAAGGCGTGCGGCTTGATATGTGGTAAATCAAGATCAAGACAGGACACAATATAAATACCCACAAAATACCCACATATCTTGATTATAATTACCAAATATACCAAAATAGTAAAATCAAGATGATGTAACTTTCAAAAAAAAATGGCCTTTTTGCCCATCTGATCGTGTTTTGGTTGTCGCTTCTCAGAGGAAACAACCGAAACTCATCAGAGGTTTGCTGGGATGCAATAGGATATTCAGAAAGGACATCAATCCCATCCACTGTTCATATCATAAATACAGTCCAGAAACCATGGTTCTGGTAGTACGGGAGACATCTTTGAAACCATGGCTTGGAGGTGTTTAATCTTAGGGGGGTTGGGATTTCTGCGATATATATGATAATAATCAGAGTAGTGTTAATCATCATGATAATAATAAGGATAACGATAATCATGACAATGATAATGATAATGATAATAATGATAACAATGATGATGATAACAAATAACAATATGTGAATCATATATGTTATGTTTGTAAATATATCATATTATATATTATACATACATTACATCTACATCCAAGCAACTTAGCTCTCCATCTGGGACTCCACACGATGCGCATGGGGCTCTGCGCGTGGCTGGAGAAGGCTTCCGGAGACAGGCCTCGAAGCAGTCGGGTCCAGTACCAAGCACGTCAAGCTATTTAAGCAGAAACTTATCCACTAATCTTGTGTATAATATATATATATATATATTATCTATCAATATATATATATATACATAGGTATATTACGTATTATATTAGGTACGGGATATTGCGAATGGTCAAAATATCAAGATATCCCTCCGGAAGATGTTTCTTGTTCTCCACTTTTTGTGTGATCAAACAATGGAGTTTGGTGAAACGATCGGCCATACCGCAAGAATTGTTTATATAGCCCTATGATGAATATGATGAAAAACCAATGCATTGAAGGTATGATTCTTAACTTGGACAAACACATGTCACACATGTCCTTCCCCCATTACATTATACTACATTCAAACTATTTCCTCGTTATTAAACCCCTTTAATAAGGCCCAAATCATCCCCCAAAGGGGGGCTTATCTTATTGGGGCACCTAGCAATGGGATGAACAAAACAGAACAAAACATAGACTCAGCATCTCCAGGTATATCACCATTTAATGTCAACATATATAATATATATATATATATTAAGCACATATAAGCATATTATATATATATGATTAATGTAACATGTATATATATAGTAGACAAGTGATATCTATAATTTACCACATTGTATTTAAAACAACATGTAACATAACCACATGTGCGTAGATCATGATTGGTAGATTACACATATCACCATGCATTTGAGTATAATAATCACCACTACCACATTATACTTGTGTGATGATTCTAGTCGCTTTGCGGTAATTATAATAATGATAAGTATAACCATAATTATCATAGTGTGGTATATGGTCATAGTAATTACAATCCTAATAATGCAAGTTTACTAAAACAACTATTATATTATTATTAATCTATATAATCATAATGATAATACCAAAACCATGGGTTTCAATACTCAAATGGTCTCATGACTGGATGATTTAAGTGTACCTCGGCTTCAGGAAACATCCATATGATCAGAAACAAAACCATCTATGATTTACCATATATAATAAATGTGAAATATAGGTCAGTATAGGTAATTATACCACCATGATCAAAGATTGGTAGATGATACTTAATTACATAATCTGATCTCCTCATTGACAGTCACCAAAACATTTTGATGGGTAGATAATATCACCATAATCTACTATCATATATACTTTTAATAAACATAATCTATGATTTATGATTTACGAAAATATAGCTCATTTTAGGAATTGCCGTAATTATACCACCATGATCAAAGATTGGTAGGTTGTACTTAATTCTGTCATCTGATATCCCCACTGAGCATCACCATCATAATATCATGGGTAGATAATATCATCATAATTTACCATCACATATAGGTATAATCATATTAAAACTAAGGCTTAAGGATGTTTAAGGGGATATCTATTAATATCACCATATTACAGTGTGCCCACGAACCGACACGAATCGACAAACACGAACCGGAACGAACCGCGGAGTCATGGAACCGGTAAATGAAAACGAACCGCAGGAACCGAACCGCAAATCTGTCGGAACCGAACCGAAAATCATAGTTATATTTTAATTTGATGTGAAAAAAGTGTAAGAATGATTATTTATCTATATATATCTCTTATACCTTGCACCCTTCAACAAGCGTTTCGGTCTCAGACATCTTTTTTCTCGAGTCACGAACCCGTAACCCCCCAAGAAGCACTTTCCGGGCCAAACATGGCTTTCCGGGGGTTACGGAAAATTAGCACAGCCGAACAGTTTTTGCCTGGAAATTCTCTCTTGTAATGAAAAGATTCCGGAAATACTGTAATCCCCTATACCTGCAGAACCCAAACCTGCCAGCTATACAACTTTAGAGTCAAATATGTATAATTTGCTATATTCATGAGCATACGACACCTTTGATGTCTGAAGGTGTCCGACATGCACGATTCATGGTTGTCGGATGTGTCCGATCGGAAGTCCAAGAATTGCAGTCGGAAATATACGAGATGTGGGATCGGAGAGTTCGAACCAATTGTCGGATCGTCCGATATAATGAGATTTTTGATCTCGGATTAATCCGATAATCGGATTTTTGGATCTCGGATGTCGTTAGAATTGGGATCGGATGTCGGATGCATGCGATTGAATTATCGGAATCATGATGCAAATTGGGATCGGATGTCGGATCCATGACGATCGTCCGATACTGAAAAGAATCGCATCTCGGATTGCAATGCACGCATGCGCGATGGAATTGATCATTTTGATGTTGCTGCTCTTTCAGCAACATTGCGCTCTGAGAAAAGGAATGTCGAGCAACATTGATATAATATATTTGTCTTCCGGTTTTTCTGTTCAGAATATATTTATATACATATGTATAAAATGTTGCTCGTCATTTTTAGTTCACATGGTAAACATAGCAATGTTTGTTGTTGGGTCAAGCATTGCCACGGTACATACTGATATTCGAAAGCCACAAACAAATTTCAAACACCAGAATGCATGGGTTGGAATCCGTGGGGTATATATTCCATACTTGTTTTTGAATATGAAAGCAAAAACTGGATTCCTGCATGGCGAAGATTGTTGGACTTGGAAAGCTATAGCACAGGGTGGCATGGAACAAACATTTTGAAGTGGGGAAGTCGGTCCCTCAATATTTTTCCATAAACGGCATGCAGTGTGCACAGCCCGCTTCCCTCGCGCAGCGCATGCCAGCACGGGGAGGGGGTGTGCCCTGTAAAGCAGGCTTTGTCAACTGTGTCCAAAACTTCAAGTCAAAGCAGGTGTTTCATGTGGCATCAGTTGCCTATAGCATATGCTTCTGACAAAATGGTTTCTTGCAAGGTGTAGTCATATATAGATCTTCACTCACCTGTCATTTTACCTAATAGTGTTTTCTGCGCGCAAGCTCCGCTACCATGATCGCACGTGGCTGCTAGCGCGGGGCTATCGCAGCCAAGGCTGGTCAGTGATTGAAAAAACCTGTTTCATGTCCCATCGCGCTGGAAGTAGAGGCACATGTGCATGTGTAAGGCCAAGATGGAGTGTTGTGGCAGGTCATGCCGCGCTTTGCATTTTTGTGGATGTCAACATCAGGACTGCTTTGGCGAAAGTCCATTTTGAGACTGCATGGGCCATGTTATACATAATGTTACAAAGATAATCTTGTAGCATTTGGTGAGGAAATTGTTTCAGATTCCCATCCAAAAGTTTAAAAATGTGTCTTATGATTGCTCCCCACGTCCCAAAACAAGGGATACCTAAACCAAACCCAAACCAAAACAAAACAAGGGATACCTAAACAACCTTACCTTCGATATGACAAAAAAAAATATACCCCGATCTGTGATTCCATTTACTTCCATTGGCTCTTCACTAAATTCAAGTGTATAAGGTATAATTATAGGATCCTACTGCGTTGCTTCTGCAAGGATGGCAAACGATGGGCTATACCAAGATCGCAGCAGGTGCCGTCCCACCCCCAAAAACAGTGGTGGCTGAAATCTTTAACGAAGTAAGTCCATTCTATAGTGCTCTCTTTGAAAACTTGGGGTACATTAACCAAAGTAAAATTGTCGGAAAAGGGGTACCTAACATCAATATTTGAATTCATGATTTCAAACTGAATCAAACTCATTACTTACATTACCCATGGAAACTTTGGCAGTTGCAAGTTGGGGCCCCAAGGTTGTCTATACTGGATGACGGTTCAGCGAACACCTCCACATTAAAGATCATGTGTGTCCTGAATGTTTTATAAATTGGATGTGCAGCATTTTGGGTACAAAGTTCCCCCGGGCTTAGTGACGTTGCTAATTGCCATGGCTGCCAGCAAAGTTGTTAAGTTGAATCAGAAAAAATCGGAGAAACATGGCAAGAAGAAAGGTGGGAAGTGTGGCAAGGGTGCAAAGAAGGTGAAAGCGCGCCCCTGTCCTGTGGCGCAGCGGCCCACCATGGCTCGCTGTCCTTTTTCCCTGTCTCGGAAATTGCATTCCAAGTTCGCAGCCATGTTTCTTGACTGCACATGCTCTTGACAAAAATCAAATGAATGTGGACAAAACCTGTTTGATACAACCACGGAGTTGGGCATGTGCAAAGGTTTAGGAATCAAGGGCTTGGCCCTCACCGCACTCCATTGAAAGATTCAGAGAAGTTTCTTTATGCATGGGCCACGCAGCAGCCACACTGCTACACCACAAATGTAGGTAACATAATTCAAGATGATTCTTTTCTTCAGTGCTTTCTGATATGAGAACTCGTCATTTGATGGATGGTATCTTTCACAAACTTTTTACATCGCCATATATGAATTATCAATACATTCTCATTATTTATAAACCTGAAAACCTTCAATGGTCTTAGGTGAAACTTGATGCGCACGGGTTTGCACAGTTTGGTCACTGTTTGGTAAAAGATGGAACACCACTGTTGTTGGATTTGACCAAACATGCAAGTCCAAGTATCTCGCACACGCGCCCTTCAGGTTGCAGATCCTGGTATGCGCTGGCTTGCCATTTTCATTGCTGGCGATGATCGACAAGACAATGGAGCACATGGGTAGCCCTGATTTCGTGACTTGGCTTGTTAAATGGCCCCTTCCATTCATCAAGTTAATCCCAACTAATGCAATCACTTTAATTTTTGTGCTTGAGGAAGGGCTAGTTAGGATACATGATGATCTACGATACAACCCTCTGCAACGTTGGTGATACACTATATCCATTTACAAGTGGAACTGCGCAGCCAAGATTGGGGATCCCTAGGGGCACATTCCATCTACAATTCGAGGACCTATCCTGTGTGGAGCTCTTTGCCGGAGTGAAGACTGTGGCACGTGGCTTCCAGTGCAAAGCTTACAGTACAACAGAATTTTAAAAATCCAGCCCAGCAGAAATGGCAAGTGGTTACAATTACAACTGGTGAGAAAATGGCAAACTCTATTCACTGGTACTGTAAAGTGGTAAACGCAAACACAAACACATACCAAATCCAAGATCTGCAAAAGGTGAGGAGACATCAAAACCTTGAGTTCTTTTGGGTTTACAACAAGAAACGGGGCCCTAATCTGAGGTACTATGGGTTTTCCGCTGCGACCTATGAGATTGCTGACGATGGCATCTACCAGGACATCTTGAATCCCTTGGGGTTCTGTTTCGCCCTCTCCCTGTGCATCCGCCTCTTTAAAGAGGTGCAAATGGGTGTGAGCTTTGCACATCAATCGGTGCAAGAAAATTACATGCATATATGGATGTATAATCATGTATTGATAGATTGATAGATTGATAGACTGACTCTTATGGGTAGCATTCATGGTCATCTGTTGGGACCTGTTGGACATTATTTCATGCACGTACACCATGTTCATGCTAGCACCAAACCACCCCAGTCCTTTCAGGCCAAGTAGGTTTCGTTCATAGTAGATGGCAATCCTGCGACAGGCCGGATTAGCATGGTTTGCACCGGTTTGTTCCAGCTGGGTTTGGATCAATCGGAAACCGGGCAGCAAATAAAGCAGTTGAAAGTTTATGAAATCCATTTGAAAGTTCAGAAATCCATTTGAAATCCAAATCAAATATGTTATGGTCAAGATTTTGGTTTCTGTCAAATTCAGGCATACCTCTGGGAGATCGCAGGAGAGGCCATTGGGATATCAGCAGTGTTCAGCAGTGCAGCTGGCGATGCCCGACTGCAAAATTAATTGGGTGGGATGATATCAAAATATATATAAATATTTGTATATATGGTCAAGCAGTTTTTCAAACACCGGAAAAGTGCCCGAACATGCAGACCAGAATGTCGAATATAATTGTACCTGTTCATGTTTCGTCTTGGATGGCCGTATTCAGGCTTCCCAAAATTTTACCACAAGCAGTTCACCCTGTTTGCTTGGGATTCCATGGCAACTGAGAGCGGCGCTGCCTCGCCATGTTCGGACAGTATCGAACATGTGGAGCTCCTGCAAGAGCTGGGGCAGGCTATGTTCCAACAGATGGGCTCGGAGCATAAGGAGCCCCTCTGGGAATTATATTGATATGGGAGCATTGGGGTGATAGGAAAAGTACAAACATACTATATAATCATTGTAATCTATATAAATATATGTTGGAAGGTGATGTATGTTTGGATATGTTTGGTGGGGCAGGGTTTCCTTTTCTGTCACAAATTGCAACCCAAAAGAACCCTGAAGGCCTGATGCATGGGGATCATGTTGTTTTTTTGCAGGATCGATGCATTGTCGGTTTGGACGAGACCCCCAGTGAACCAATTCTTCTGGGCGACTTTCGAAGGGATTCTGAGCACCAGCTGCTGTTACTTGGTGAACATAAATACAATTGTCACGAAAACTGTCAGGTAAACCATTCCCAAGTTTCAAAACCTTTTCATTGCCAACAATCCAAGGTCGAAGAACCATTGGTGTATCTCAGTCCTTCTGGAATGTGAACCGTTTTGCTACCGTTGCCCTACCAAACCAGAGCTTGAAGTTCTCTGGAGAGCATTCAACCACGAAGCCAAGGCACTTGTAAGTGGTTGTCTTTGATCCCAAAAGTTTGTTGACTGTTGTTTGAAGCTTGAACATGGAAACAATTGCACCCTCTTAGACCCGTCCCACAACCGGCAGGGGTCCTTCTCCTGCTTCCAGGGCTTGGCACTGCGGCCCAATATGGACCTGAGCACTGGTGGGGATGTGCTGGAGACCCTTGTGAGCCAGTCCCGGATCCTTTGGTCTGCAATCCGAAGGCTGGGAATGGAATGTGTATTTATATTGTTTCTAGACAATGTCTTGGGGCTATGCTTGGATGTATACATGCCAATCACTCAGTGGTTATGACAAACATATTACCCACATGTGGTAATCCATTTAAAGCACAAATCCACCCACACACATATATATATGTGTATAGTATAGGTATATGTACATGTAGGTATTCCCATTCGTATGCAAAGATCTATACGTGTATTTCTTATCGTTAGGGGAGTACATACATGCATACATACATACATACGTACGTACGTACATACACACATACATACATACTTACCATTACATTACATTACATTACTTTACATTACACTACACATTACATTACACATTACACTACACATTACACTACATTACATTTACATTTACATTCACATTTACATGTGCATTTTCATGTACATGTACATTGCATTACATGACATACATACATGCACACACACATACATACATACAAACATACAGACGTACAGACATAGAGGCATACAGACATACAGACATACAAACATACATACAGACATACATACATACTTACATGACATGGCATTACATGACATGACATGACATTACATGACATTAGATTACATTACATCCACATACATACATACATGCGTGCATGCATGCATACAAACATACGTGGCGTTACATGGCATGACATGACATTGCATGACATTACATTACATACACATACATACATACATACATACATGCATACATGCATACATGCATACATGCATACATACATGCGTGCATGCATGCATGCATACAAACATACATGCATACATACATGCATACATGCATACATGCATTACATACATATATACATACATACATGCATACATACATACATACGTACGTACGTACATACACACATACATACATACTTACCATTACATTACATTACATTACATTACTTTACATTACACTACACATTACATTACTTTACATTACACTACACATTACACTACATTACATTTACATTTACATTCACATTTACATGTGCATTTTCATGTACATGTACATTGCATTACATGACATACATACATGCACACACACATACATACATACAAACATACAGACGTACAGACATAGAGGCATACAGACATACAGACATACAAACATACATACAGACATACATACATACTTACATGACATGGCATTACATGACATGACATGACATTACATGACATTAGATTACATTACATCCACATACATACATACATGCGTGCATGCATGCATACAAACATACGTGGCGTTACATGGCATGACATGACATTGCATGACATTACATTACATACACATACATACATACATACATGCATACATGCATACATGCATACATGCATACATACATGCGTGCATGCATGCATGCATACAAACATACATGCATACATACATGCATACATGCATACATGCATTACATACATATATACATACATGCATGCATACATACATACATACATGCATGGATGCATGCATACATACATACATACAGACATCACGTCCAAACACCCGTCCATCCATCCATGCAAACATAAAGTAAGGCAAGGTAAAGTCTAGTACAGTATAGCACACTACAGTACATTACAGTGTAGTAAAGTAAAGCATAGCACAGTATAGTACAGTATATTTAGTATAGTTTACCTGTTAGGTATATATATATATACCACTTGTCATGTACATGTTCCTATGTACATAAACGTGTATTCAACTACATATGTAAATAAAATGAATAAGTAAAAAATATATATACTTAGATATATGCATTTATATTTCCTATTCACTTGGGTGGCATTTGCCCCTCAAAGAATCTTCTACCGGCCCTGGCAGTCTGTGGCGAAACAGTCCTAGTAAGTCGCGATTCCCCTACATCCAGTCGCTGAAAGATTGCATGCGGGCTCGGGCGCCCTTGCAGCATTGATAAGAACTGGAGCCTTCAAACATTATGTATTGGTAAGAACTGGAATCTTCAAAAAAAGAATCATCAATTGAGTTGGGTGTTATTTTAATTTACAACTTGCCCAAACCGTGGACACCGAGGATCCAACTCCTGAATCCCAGATTGAGATGGATGAGGAGCAGGACAGTGTCCCAACAGTGAACAGATCACTTAGATGTCCTAGCATACATATATAGCCCAACCCAGTGGAGAAACTGCGAACTTGTAAAAAATCAGGCGCCCTATTTCTATTTGATGATGAAGGATACCCTGTAAAATTAGAATTTGCGAACTTGTAAAAAATCAACCCTGTAGGAACGCCCGAAATGTGATGGTGAAGGCTCCGACATCAGTTGCAATTCTGATGAGATGGATCGTATATGGGATGCGGTTTCTTGGATCTGGATCAGCTAAAAAACGGCGAGAAAGCAGAATCATCCCAACAAACCTTTGCTATAAACAACACCCCTTCGTCCACTATTCATTTTTGAGGGACTATATGGGGACCTTAACAATATCAAAATGTACAACTGGGATGGGATCAATCCTTTTTCATCTCCCCCCAGCCAGTAGCCGGCATCTAGGTCTTGGACCGGTTCGAGCCTCTGCTTTTGCCTTCCGATGATGATGCGGAGGATTATCAAGGGGATACTTTGGGGGAGGAAGCTGAAGAAGAGAAGTCAAACGTGAGTGAAGAAATCGATGGTCAGGACATGTATGATGAAAGCCAGTGTTTCCCGGATAGCCAGGTTGTCCCGGGTGATAGCCAGGATGTCCCGGATGATATCCTGATCAAGGTCCCCCCAGGGCTGGATGATGCCCTTCGTTTGAATGCCATCTTGTTGGATGTCCACAACGAGGCTACTGAGAAGACCAAGGCTAAGGTACGTGATACAGATGAGGTCAGCTTGGCGTCCACCATCCCTTTGGGCCCTTCTTGGGAAGACGGAGTGCCTCTTCCTGCGGAGCATCCTTCCCCTGAAAGGTCCAAGCCTAAGCCCAGCAAGGAGGCAGAGCACATTGCCAAGGCAAAGAAAGAGCTGCAAATCCCTGCCTCATGGCTGGGAAATCAAGGGAAAATCATGGGGCTATAAATGTGTGTGTGGCCTTAGGTTATAAAACCAATACCTGTACATACAAATATAAAAAGATACATAGAGAAACTCATATTTAAGTATATATATATTATTATTTATATATATATACATATGGTAATGTCATCAAGGGTTCAGACATGTGCTGGGTCCAATCAGGGGGTTTATAAGCCACCACATGGTATTCCACTCTGGGACCCTATCCTAGGCACCGAAAGGTTTGAAGCGTGCAAAGTCGCAAATTTGGAATGCAGAGCTGCAAGCTGTGGAGGTCAAAGAGCAAGGTGGGTTCATGTGGGTGAGACTCCAACCTCGATTTGTGTTGGTTGCTCACAACCTTTGTCCTGTAACCTTGACCTATGGGTCTTATGCAACAAGTTTCAATCACGACCTACAGGAAAGAAAAGGAAGAGCAAGAGCCGAAGTCAAAGCCGCAGAAAGTCAGCAAAGAAGAGCAAGGGCTCTGGGAAGGACAAAGCATGTGGGAGACATAGTGTCACATGTTAGTGTTACCAATGGGTGCACTTCACAGTCTACATTCATTCGTGGGCTGAACAAATACTTTTTAGATTCGAACAGCTATAAAGCATTGTTTGAGGTGATGGTGATGCAGAGCCGACAGCTTCTGAAGATGTTCTGGCAAGTTTCCCTCCGGAATACCAAGAGATCATCTATATCCTCCCTGCTGAGTTCCACCCCACGTCCTTGCGACATGGCCAACACTCCTATACCACGTGTCTTGATAGAAATGGGTTTCCAAAAAATGTTACTGTGCAAAGCTAGCTGCACATGCCCCACAGATGACCCCACGGCCCACTGAATCTAAGGGTGGTGCAGGGCAAGGCTCGTGTAGAAGTCCTTCTGCGCCAGCGGGCCTTTAAGCCTAAGAGTGACACCAACGGAGAACCGCTGAAAAGCTCTCAGATTCCAGGCTTCTAAAATCCACTTTAAGTTGTCGAAAAGGTTTACTCTCAGAACCTTTGGTGCATCCCAAACCTAAAACATATCCAGCAGTTTATCGAATAGGCATTCCTTTATGATTGGCGGCCGGTTACAAGAGGGATTACATCTAAAACCACAACACAGTGCCACCATCATTCACAGGATGGACATATGAATATACAATTGTATGATACAATGCATTACAATATAGCACACACACACACATATATATATAAGTGCATACATACAACATACAAATACATGTATGCATGTATATATGCATGAATGCATGGCATGCATGCGTGCGTTTGAATATGTGCATGTACACATATTTGCACATATGCCTTGCTGCCTTCCTGGCTAAGGATTACCTTCGCAGAGGATGTCTTTGCGGCTGCCCAAAAGGTCATGAAGGCCATTGGAGCAAACGCCGAGGATTAGGGAAAACCCTGCCTGCCAAAGGGCAGTGAATACTGCTTTGGCCCATATCGGGCTTTTTGGGGCAAAGATCTGTGCGATCAGTCTTAGGGGTACCCTTGGGCTTGTTCCCACACCAAAAATTGTACAAGAGGGCCCAAAGATTATTCCTTAGACTTATCCCTTACGTTAGCTTCACCAAGATCAATTTCGTGGCATGGGTGGGGACAAGTAAAGGGCTTAGATTTATAGGATGAAGGCTTCCAGCACATTTGGGGACACAAGCCAATTGCGCAAAGAGGAAAAAAGTTCCTTTCTCGATCATAAATGCTGATTCATTTCCAAGTTACCAGCCGAATTATTCAAAATATGGTTAGCTCCTGTCCTAAGGAATGTCATGGTGGGCAGATGCATGGCTTGCCTCACCATGATGTGCGCCCTTGGATTACCATTTATTTTGGAGCAGCCAAGTACAAGCGTGATGGAATATCACCCATGTTTCCAATTCCTGGCTCGGCAATTCCGGATTTACAAAGCCGCTGGGGCCAAAATAATTGTGCAACTCAAGCTTAAAAACATATCACAACATCTACTATTGGTTTGGGTTGAAACCCCATTCTAAGGCATTTGTGTGGATGGGAAGCTATGGTGGAGACAGCCACTTGGTAGAACTGAGGGTTTGACTCAGCGGGCCTTCCGGCAAAGTGTTCAGCCTCATTCAGACCAGATACCCGGACGATGAGACTTCGACACCTCATACATGTAATACCCCTAGTATTTACTCGTTAGAATGCATTTAGTGATTACAATGAACATTGCGAGTGTAACATCAACATCGCGAGCTCTGTAGGTCCCAAGGGAACATGGCTTTACAGCAACGTGGAGGCTTTGATCAAAGATCTTTACCTGCCTCTTTGTGACAAAAAATGGGGAGCAAAGATGGTTCGCAGGCTTGTTGCTTTGAACACATGAACCCATCACTTCAGCATGGAACAGTTTCATTTGGAGTTCCACAGTTCCAGTATCTCAAAGCCTGAAATAATTTATATTTCTTCATGGAGGTACGTTGATGGCAGTGGTGTTCAACGTGTTGCTGGCGACGCTGACCTGAAACGAAGCCAGCATTACCCAATCCTTTTTGGACGTGCAGTGGCTGAAACGTTTATCAGAGAGTGGCCTGCAATCAAAGCATCGGGATACACCCTCAGGCCAGCTATGACCCATTCAGTCATTTGAATGGTTTGAGTCTAATAGAGATAAAGTGTTTCATGTCTCTTTATAAAATGTGTATTTGTAAGACAGGTGGCATTGGGTATATATATATTATATATATACATAAATATATAAGCTAATGATGCATGGCCATGTATAGCAGCTATAGTCCTGGAGATAATATATCTAAATATATAGCTCTGTGCCTCCGTGCCACAGGATGGATCTTCTCGACAAGCCCAAGCGCGAGATGAAAGACACCTGTCGGCAAGGGTGGTTTCACGGATTCACGGCTTCACGACTTCACGGGTTCACGGGTTCACGGGCCCATTGCATATATTCACATGTTGCCGAACATTTATATAGTGATTGGATTCCTCAAATTTGCCCATCCTAGGATATTGGCTGGGTGAAGCATGCCAATCTACGTCCTGTCATTGCAGCCCTAGCTGATCTCTGAGGAGTGTAGCTTCTTTTTGCAGAATGTTCTGCATTTGAGGATGCAATGTGCATCTATGGATAAATTTAGATGAAATTGGGGATTCCAGCACAACCCGTGAACCGTGAAAAAACCGTGAAAACCCCGTGATTTCACGTGAATTTTCATGGGTTTGCATTCATCACATTTTGGAAGGTTTTTGGGGTGTGCTGGCCCGTTGCCAACTGAAATCTCAAGGGGAATGTTTGAAATCTCATAGAAAAATGGCTCCCATTTGTCGACAATCTGACTTTGCACCATGAGAATTCACAATTTGACAGTATTTGCCAACAGTCTGACTTCAAATGATCGATCTCATTAAGTAAACTTTCACCATTGCTACATTTATGCAGTCACTCGGCTTTAGTGGTGAAAAAGTGTGGGTCATGGCTCCCGAAAAGAGGCTGAGATGCAAAACACCAGACCCGTGTCGAAGGCATAAAAGCCCAGACCCAAAAGCTTTAAGGAAGGCAGAACAGCATGTGAAAGTTGCCAAAAAGGCAGAACGGAGTCGGGGGTCTTCAGAACCCACAGCAAGGCGGCTGACCTTTGACGGTGTCCCAAAGGTAACTCCCATAGTTGCCGAAAACACTCCAGGTGAACGTCGCCCAGGTGATGCCCTGCCTGAAACCAGGAGAAGCTCCAAGGGTGGGAAGATGACTTCGGCTGAAGCTGACAAGATCCTGGCACAGTTTGCTCGTGAGAAGGAGCTATGGTGCTGGGTGGCAAACGGTTGGGGTATACTTCCATCAATTGAACACAAACAGAACCTTGAAATCTTTTAAATTAACCATCTTGGGTGAAATATGAGTACAGAGCATATACATACATACATACATATATATATATATATGTATATATATATATATATCATAAACCACATATAATATAGAACATATGTCACTATATATCTTTTAGTCTTCAATTTATTATTTATATATCATTTACTTATTGGTTCAATTAAATATGAACTAATGTGTGTATGTATGTATGTAGGTAGGTAGGTATGTCTGTATGTATATCGATAGCACTACTGTGGTAAAATCTCTGCTGTGCCAGGAAGCAAAGGAAATGACAGCTTCTGCGTCGGAGAGTGAAGCTTCCCAGGTCTGGTCCCAGAAATCAACCATTAGCATCTGCACATGCCACACACCCCCAATGGATCAATCCATTGAGGTACTGTACCATATATATTTGATGGGTTTTTTCCTTACACAGGCCTTACATATATATGGTAGGCACCTCCAATTTAGGATCTTGAAATTCCCATTGAATGGATGCCTGACTGTTTGTCTTTGAAGGGTAATGTGATTGTGCTTCACCCAAAACGAGGGACACCCAAAATGGATATGCTATTTGCCCTGCACATCGGCCAAGCACATTTACATGTATATATATATATATATACAAATAGGACCACAGTTTCCATCTGACATTCCTGCATTCCATCTGCACCAAGTCATGTGCACACTCCATTATTGTGGTGCAGGCAGCGGAGGCCAGCTCCAGCTCAGAGGACTCTGGGTTGGAAAGTTCAGATGATGAGACAAAGGTGACCGTGACAAAGACCAAAGAAGGAAAAGGTAAGGCCAAGACAGTAGAGGTCCCCAAGGTTCAAACGAACTCGAAGGCTGACAACGACAAGGACAAGAAAGGTAAGGACAGACAGGATGCAAAGGCTAAGGCAAAGGGAAAAGAAAAAGAAGAAGAACAAGTGAAGAAAAGGAAGGAGGTCAGGAAAGATGAGTCAGAAGAGGAATCTTGCGAAGAGGAAGATTCTGACTGCGGCTCTTCTGGGTCTACGGAGTCAGAAGCAGAGCAGCAGGCCCAGAAAAGCCAACCTGTTGACAGTTTTGTGCAGAATCCTACTTTCCCCAAAACAGATGTTCGCAGATGGACAGTAAAGGGGTCAATTTGGCCTTACCTTTCCCGGAAGGAGAAGGAAGAGGAACAAGAAAAGGATGAAGGAAGCGGCTCAGAGAATTCTGATGAGGATGACGAAGAGGTTGAAGCCCAAGAAGCCAGTGAAAAAGAACAGGATGAACAGGATGAAGATGAGGAGGAGGACCAGAAGGAGTCAGAGAGTTCTGAAGAGGAGGGTGCAAGCAGTGAAGGCGAAGATGCAGATATCGAGGATGAAGTTAGCGAGAAGCAGGCAAAAGAAAAGAAGCAAAAGAGAGATGATAAGTCAAAGCAGCATGATGCCAAGGCAGGTCAAAAAGAGAGCAAGGCAGACAAGCATGCAAACAAGTACGGCCAGGAAGAGAAGAAGAAGAAGGCAGCAAAGGCAGAGAAGAGCACCGACGATGAGACGTCAGAGAAGCCATCTTCGAGTGTTGACACGGTAGAGAAGAAGAACGGCAAGGCAGTGAAGACGGACGGCAAAGAAGGGCAGACAAAGAAGAGCAGAGATGGCAAGGCAGAAGATAGCAAGGCAGAAGTGAAGAAAGGTGGCAAGGCAGATTCAACTGAAGACGGCAAGAAGAGGAAGAAAGGTGACAGCGCTGAGGATGTGGAGAAGAAAAAGAAAGTTGCTACAGCAGCCTCAAACAAGGCAGAGTCAGACACGACAAAGGACAAGGTGGAGGTGCCCAAGAAGAGAAAGGTATCTAACACAGAGGAAGGCAACATGGAGAAGAAGAGAAAGGAAGAGAAAGCCATCGAGCCGACTAGCCCGAAGAGCATCGTCAAAAAGGCGACCCCGCAGAAGACCCCAGAGGATGAGACAGGAGAGCAAGAGGTTCAGAAGAAGCTAGCAGAAGCAGAGAGCAACATGAAAGTCAACAGCACCACCCACCGAAAGATGTGGATGAAGTTTCTCAGGTTCCGAAAGAACAAGAAGAAGATGAGACTTTGTCCTGCCCAAATGGTGGCAGCCTTGCAGTCTGAGGCCTGGGGTGACTTTAGGGTTACAACCATAGCATCACAATTCCCCCAACGCAAGACTTAATGGAGGGTTCAGTCATTCAGAAAATTAGGTAGTGGCTCTGCTGACAAAAACACAAAACGTGCAGTTGTGAGGTGTTTAACCGAAGTTGTGCACTTTTCTTCCGAAGAAAAATACAAGTAGTAAACTTGCAGGAACATCTGCATACTTTGTTATGATTACATATGATGGTGATGATAATGATGGTGATGATGGATGATGTGATGATGATGATGATGATGGTGATGATGATGATGATGGATGAGATTATGGGGAATATATGTGCATATATAATGTTTACATACACTGTCTATAGTTATGCTACACATAGAGATAGAAACTGTTTGGTGAGCCAGGGTTGCTGATTGGAGTGGCCATTCGTTGTCCACACCGGTGAACCAGCTTTACAAAAGATAGAGGAAAAAAAGGCCCCCGCAACCCCACCAACTATATAGGAAAATGCAATTGTAGATCCAGACTTGTGGGGGGCTTTCTTTACGGTGGGAATCCAACAGATAAATTATTGAACAAAGATTTTCAGAAGCACAAGGTTTATTCATTTGCTGTGACATTTTTGCCACCCTTTAATCAGTAAAGATCTGGGAACTAAATTTGGGGGTCCATCAAAAACTTTAATGGTTGCCCCATCGCAGGACCAACGGCAGAAGATCTTTGCCGACTTTGTAAAGGTCGGTGGGAATGTGCAACACCTGGTGCTGAAATATGAAGCTGGCCTTACTGAATCCCAAAGTTCGAACATCAAATGGGGTTTCAGACCTGAGAAATGGCTAGAGGATCGACATGGTGGCAAAAAGGCCAAAAAGCTGATTGAGCGTAAGTTGTCCCTGGGGTTGCCCCCTGGTTGCACCCTGTGTCAGTCCAGCCTCACCCATCCATCAGCTATGTAGTTGGCCTCAGCATCAGCCAAGGTATATACAAGACCCCGAGCTTCCCGATGACGAGGAGGAGAAGCTTTTCTTCACCATGATCAATCTGGACATGTCCAACATCACCGAAGTGCGACGTCTTACGAAACTTGAGATGGAAGGGTGCATCGACCAAGCTGGCCTAGATGAGTTCGTGAAGGCATCCCCAATGTAACAAGTTTATAGGGAAATTGTCACAAGACATCGCATTTGCAGTGCTGAAATTGAAACTATTTATCATATGTAAAAATTGTCTTTTTTCACACTTACAGTTTCAGGGTTCTCAACAGCATTGGTCTGCCAGGCTGGCGGTGTGTTGGACCCAAATGCGCAGCTGAAGTTGTCAGACTTCACAGGGAAAGGTGGCTGTGACAAGCTGGCTAGCGCTATGGGTGCTTTGGGTGGCAACCAACCGGCAAAGGCCACAAATAAGAGAAGAAGTCAGGCTCAGCAAGGTGATGCTGCCCGTGAGGCTAGGTATGGGTTCTTCAACCTCACTGTTGAATTTATAAATGTATGTATGTATATATATATATATATATATAGATGCAAATTATATATGTATATGTAAATATATCTGAAGACACATATATATGTATATATATATATATATACATACACATATGTAAACTATATATATATATATATATGATAATATATGTATACATTAGTATTCTTCTATTTATACGTATACATGTATGTAGATATCTTCCAACAGTCATGCTCCCTTTTAATTCCCATAGTTTCACAGTGACCATGCAGGTGACGCCACAAACTCCGCTGCAAAAAGCTACCCAACTTGTGAACAAAGTCTTGAAGGATGTAAATGAGTGCAGGACCCACGGCATATGTTTAAGAGTAATTTGTGGTGGTCATGAACCATGAATTTCAAAGTTTGGTGTGAAATCCCTTGACCCCACCGGCCACTCTGAGGAATGGCGCTTTCAAGCTGAAGCCCATCAAGATGTCGTCGGACCTGATTGACCAGCTCAACGCTGTGGCGATCAAGCTGGAGGAATGTGCGGCTTCGCTCCAGGACTTGATTGGAAAGAAGAAATCGAAAAACAAGCACTATGTGGGTATCATCACCGAGGCAACCCTTTCACAACCAGAATTCAATGTATCTTCCTTTTGGTATTTTTTCACATGATTGTAGAGTTTGAAAGTCAAGAGTCTTGTGAACTTAGATATGCACCCTCGACCCAGTTTATGTTACATCTTGTTCCCATCCGTCGCAGGTGGAGAAATATGGCGCAATGGCTCGTGAGAGGTTGGAACTTTCCAAAGCCCTTTTGAGGGCCAGCGACAAAGCGGCCAATCCCAGGAGTGCTGCTAAGGCCAAAGCTGCCCCAAAAGCGGCGGCTGGGAATCCTTCGAAGCCTGGCGCAAGCTCCAAGACCGGTGCAACCAAATAGCCCTGGTCTGGAGATGTTTCATAGCTGAGTGGGTGCCTGTACTTCAAGTGCTAGGGGATCAGCTTTAGAGCTGGGGCCACAGGACCAAATCCGAAGATAATTCAACATTTCATCTTGGGCCACCTTCTTGGCCACAGTTAGCAATGTTAAGAAGTTTGACATAGACATTTTGTTCTCGTGTCCGGGGGATGGTTTGCGAACGTGGCCATGGCATGGCTGGGCATTTGTTTTGATGGCAAGAGTTTCTGCATTTGATCTGAAATGGATCAAGATGACCTCCAGTTGCGACCGTGGTGTGAACACCAACCTAAACATGTTCAATCGTGCGAAAAAAAAACATTCTGATGATGATAGCAGCTGTTTAGGGAACCTAGCAGCATCGATTTCATAAACCCTGTATTCTATATGGTTGCCAGCACATCCCGTACGCAGGTCAAGATCGAGGCGCCTGACCACAACACGACGTAGAGGACCATAGTGTGACCTGTTGGCACGCTCCCCATCTTCACGTGTCTGTCCATCCAGGTCCATTTATATCTATCTATTTCCATATTCATCCATCTATATCCATGTATATCCATCTACACCATATACATCTATATCCATATGTCTCCATCTTTCCATGTATATCCATCTGTATCTACCCATCACATCCATCTATTTCCATCTGTATCCATCTATTTCCATCTATATCGATCTGCATCCATCCACATTCATCTATATCCATCTGTATCAATATCAATCTATCCATCTATGTACATCTATTTTGTTTTTTACCATCTATACCAGTTATAGTTCCATCTATATACATAAATCTATTCCCATTTTTTACATTCATGTAAATCCATCAGGATCAATCTATATCGATCTACCTCTTAGTTGTTGAATCAACTACCTTCAGGATTTTCTTCAACCTATCATTGCAAAAAAGTGTTTGACTCTGCAAAAGAGTATATTGAGGTTTGCAGCCATCAAAGTGCATATATTCAGGTCAACTATTCTGCATGTATCCCCCTAGCCAGCGTTTAAACTCGTGAAGCTCCAACCAAGTCACCTGTTTCTTCTAATTAATGATATTTATATATCGCAGATTTTATGTCCATCTGGAGTGTTCACATGTTATTTTAGTTCTTGAAGATGTGCATTGCAATCCAAAATTGACTAAATGTCTGCTTTACTCCCTCAAACCTTCCCTGCGCATGCAGGACGATGTGCACAAAAGAAAGAAGTTGGTCAACAAGGTGCCCCATCGGGGTCGCAAAAGTCGGTCAATTTACTGTTCTCCAACACTGGGATCCATGATAACCATTGACAAACATTACGTAAATAATTCAGTTCTCCAATGTTCTCCATTGTCTCACTTAGCAACTCTCCCCGTTGAGCTGCTTGCAGGCACTGACATTGTCTCCGGTGGAAGCGGCACTGCACGAAGAATCTTCTACAAGATGTGCAGTGGGGTGCGGGTTTATTGGGGCCAAAATTAAGGTTTCAAATTAACTACAAAATTAACAAATGGGTTCCGACAATGAATGACAGGATATGGACATCGGAGTGTTGAATACAGTGCCAAAAAGTTTCAAACTTAGTTTCTGGAGTGTAAACGGTTTCCCCACAAAATTAGCAAATGGGTTCCGACAGTGCCACGTTTCAAACTTAGTTTCTGGAGTGTAAACGGTTTCCCCAGGGTTCCGACAACGAATGACAGGATATTGTCTGGACATCGGAGTGTTGAATACAGTGCCAAAAAGTTTCAAACTTAGTTTCTGGAGTGTAAACGGTTTAACCACAAAATTACCAAATGGGTTCCGACAATGAATGACAGGATATGGACATCGGAGTGTTGAATACAGTGCCAAAAAGTTTCAAACTTAGTTTCTGAAATGTAAACGGTTTGTTTTTCAGGTTCATCGGTGGATCCCCTGGACAGGAAACATCGGTGAGAGATGGGATTACAGCTGCAAAACAACTGGTGAAAGATGGCTTTGGTTGCTCTCTAAGCAATGCTTTATCAGCTTTTTCTGAATCCCACGAAGAACGTTCTTTCCAAAAGAATCTTCTCTTGAATTCAGGTTTTCAACAAGTTGGGATCTCGAAGGGTTAGTATGTTAAAGACACCATGTCACATGTTTTACCTTGGGAGCCCTGCGCATCCAAGGTGGTGCCGTGACCACTGCAAGATCCAGCCTGATTGCGTGCAACTGCACAACCGGAAGAACGGCGTACTGTGGCCATGGGATGTTCTGGCAGATATGTGGGACAGCCCTGGCCATTCGGATTTTTTTTCTTGGGTTCATGACCCCAAAGATGAAGCAAGTCATCGTTGTGAAGAATATTGGAACCGAGTTTCACACCTACCGTTTTACAAGAAGTTGGTGATCAAGAACCCTGGCAAAACAATACCGTTGTCGTGGCACATGGATGGCGTGAAGGTGTACAAAACCCACAAAGTCTGGGCCTATAGCCATTCAAGCGCAATCAGGAAAGGTCAGTCCATCGACACCAAGACCCTTTTTCTACTTTTCCGGGACAGTGACATGGTGAAACCACACACCCACGATGCAGTTGCAAAGCTCATAGCTTACACTATGG